AGTTTACAGCTCCGTGGCTGCGTCTGTCGCCGTGGCCCACCCATTGTTATAATTATTGGGCGCCCATGTGCAAGTGACAATTTAGCTCTGGTTCCCCGCTTTTCCGGCCTGGCATTTGTGGAGCAAATCGACTGGCGATGGCCAACCGTAAACAAGAGGACATGTGTTGAAAGCCGTTAGAGAACAGCTGTTTTACAAAAAGATCAGACATAAATTCATGAAAATTTTGCATTAAGGAATTTTTTATAAATGAAATTAATGTATTTACAATGTTACAAAATCTCTAAGATTTTCTGGGAGTTATGCATGTTTTCATTTAAAGACCAAACTTGGGATACTCTGGTAGAGCTTCCTTACAAATTGAAGATAGATCGTTAAGCTGGCCAAAAGGAGTAAAGAGTCCATCTAAAAATCTAACATATACCACATTCCTAACCTCCATATGGTTGGAGCCGACAATGGCTCACCCACTTCGCTTGAGAATCACGAATGGAAAGACCTTAATAACTTTTGCGACCTCTGTCTGCCCTTAGCTCTCATTCCTTCCGTCAGTCAGAGTCGCAGAACCGTAGTCACAGTCCCAGTCCCAGGGGCCAGAGCTGGGAAATCGGGAATCCGACTTGTCCAGTTCCCTGAGCGCCCGGCCACTAATTCGTTTTCACACTTTTCATGCATCGGACAGGTCGAAATGGCTGGCGGCGCATTGGCAGCGCCTAATTTCATACGCCAGTCTTAGATCGCGCCCCCCTTGGTCTATGGAGCACCCGTTTCCAGGCGGCTAATATTTATATTTGCCCTGCATTTCTCACTCTGCCGATTGCCAGCGATTTGATAAGCAAATGGAAATGCGGACCGAGAGAAAGAGACTATGCATGGCAGGAGGAGGAGGAGGAGGCGTCCCAGGCACGGACGATGGCGGCGAAAGGTGCAAATAAATAATTTGCAGTAGCCAGGCGGCCACTCGACCCACTGTTGGCCAACCTCGGAGGTGCCCCGTACTCCGCGCGGCACCCGATCGACTAAAAAAGCGACGGCCAGACAAATATTTTATTGCAAATTTGCTGATATTGGACGACAGGCGGCCACTGGAGCAGTTTGTACTGCTGCTGCGGCTGTTGTCCGGCTGTTTTGCATATTAAATTTATTTTATTGAATATAGGCAACGATTTACTTAGATATGCGAGGCTGGATTGAGGAGTTATGGCTGCATTCCTTTTATCTTTATTTATATTTGTGGTCCTAGAATAAATCAATATTTGAGGTGACACAGAAATCGCTTGGGTTTTTAGTTCCCTTTAAAAGTGTCTAAAACTATGTCAGAAAATGCTTTGTTAAATATTTTCAGGCTCGTTTTTTGAGGCTTTTTAAGGATTTTAAAAGCCTGAAAGATTTCTGTTATACCCCTGATATTGATTTATTCAAGGACCACAAACTTTTACTTAATCAAAATAATATTCGTTATTTATTAAATTGTTTTCATATAGTTTTTAAATATATAAGCTTTAAAATCGAAGGCTTTTAAGCCAATTTTTAGATAACAAAGACGTTATTTCTAAGATTTTAGGGGGGAGTTACGAGGGTTAGAAATCTTTTAAAAAAGTACATATGTTATGCTAGAAACAGCTTCATGTACATTTTTATTGTAGGTTGTATTATTAATATTTATTTATTTTTTTATTTAAAAAATTAGGTTTTACTTTTATTTATTTACGCCCCGAATTTTATTCAAGTTTTCCATGGTCTAACACTTTTCTGATTTTAACAGCTTATTCTAGTTGGCGGGCTCTTTGTTTGTTGTTTTGTTGTATGCCCTAGAAATGTAAATGTTTAAATATATATAGTAATTTTAACAACAGTTGACTTTCAACTAAACCACTAAAAAATCAATAAATTAAAAAGTCTTTAAAACCCATTTCTAAATATAGAAACTCATGAGTTTCCCTTATTTTTACCTCAGCTCTCCTTATGGATTTGTTCCTGGCTCTCGCCGCATAGGAGGAAGTTTTCCAATCCAACCTCTAGCTGTCCAGCACATGGAGTTTTCCAGCTCATTGTACTACTCTTTCCTAGGTCCCCCCCTTTGGCTCGCGGGGCGGCGCATAATTGCCATCGGATTCGGACGCCGTGGAAGGAGGCCCAGCGGGCGATGAATTATTAATTGCCGTTGATTTGCATTGAGATTTGCTCGGTCTGGGATCATTACCGGGACCGGCAATCTTGGCCAGCAATGGACTGCATAGTGTAAACATAATAATCAACGGGCATTATATGCCGATATATGGCGATCGGCAGAATGCGCTTTTGCAAAATGGCCGCCGGTCACCGCGGCCCCCAATTGACACCTGAGCGGCCGAGTTGCCTATTATTGCTATTATTGTTGCTCCCGCCGCTGCGGCAGCTGTAATTGTTATTTATGCACTTGCATTTAGCCGCGTGTAATGGCATGTGGTGGCCGGCCGGCCGGCCGCCATGCCCCCTGGGATGGGCGTGTAACGCCGGGCAATTTGCAGCACTGCGCCCGATTACATAACCGTTCCAAGCGGCCTAATTGTGGGGGAAGCAAGTACAATGATGTCCAATATTAAATTGTATTGGTCCAGTTAATAGCAGCCTTAGACAGGAGCTAAAGTTCCCACATCTATGGTTTGCAGAGGGTATTAACCACATTTGAGCTTTTAGGTTTTAATCTTTTAAATAAATTAAAATACAATTAATTAAAATTAAAGGAAATAATGAAATACTTATGTAGAAGTATCTATACAAAATATGGCATAGAAAATGTTCAAAAATTGTTTGAATAACTCGATATATAGAACATATGAACAAAGTCTACAGTATTATATAAGTTTTATAAGTGATTTTCAGTTGGATATTTTGAAAAAATATTATTTTCCTAAATAATGGATGGACATTTCCCCAACGACAAGGACAAGACAAAAGGGAAAACGATAATGCCACAAATCGGACAAGTTAAATAAATACACCGCCTAGTGTTTTGGGCAGGGCACACGCGCTTAAGTTTTTCAACTTGAGACCAAGACGAGAGGAGTCGAGGATGACTACTGTGCGATCCCTGGAATTTTGAGCGGGATAAGCAACAAAGCCGAAAAAAGGGGAAAATAAACCAAGACCAACACAAATACCAGCACAGGGCGCTTTTGTTGTTGCACTTAAGTTGGCTAAAACGCGGTGTGTTCGCTTGTCAAAATTGCAGCAGAACTCCCCTACCCCATGCCGCCACCGCTGTGGTTCTCTTATGTTAAGAAGCCACAAGAGATGACGCAGACGAAATGGGTAAATGAATTAACCCTTTTACTTTGCACATACTAACACACACACTCACATATGTAGGCAATGGGCAATACAGTGGCTACAACAACAATAGCGTCCACAGATTTGTTATTTTCCTGCTCCTTGTTGCAGTTGTTGTTCTGTGTTTTTGGCCAACAAACGGATTAATCTACACCCGTTTAAAAATATTCAAATAAACTTTTATTTCATTTATATATATAATATTTTTTTATTATTTATTAATAATTTCTAAATATTCTTAATAGCATTCTGTCGAATTTAACATTTGTAGGTATTCAAAGTAGAAAAAACTTAACGTAACGTAAACAAATACAAAAGTCACTTTCTCGGGGAGCTGTTCAAACACCGATTTCAGAAAACATCCAAGGATTATTTCAATGAAACAAATTTCAAATTGTCATTCGTTAATGTCCGTTTTATGCCCTGTTAATTTCTATCGGAAATATAGAATGGTTATTTTTATATTTAATTTTAATTAGAGTCAAGTTAAATTTAACAAAAACTCCCTAATTGATGATTTCACATCGTATTTTTTACTCTTTTAAAAACATATGCAATTTAAAAAAAATTAAATTTAAATAATTTAAACTTATTCTATTTTTTATAGCCAATTTATCCTTTTTATTTTGATATTTATTTTCTTTAAAAATAAAATTACCCATTTTTAGGTGTACGAAAACGAAACTTATTTTCCGTTCCTTAAAAAATTGAACTTAAGGTACTATATGCTGATTTTTCTGGACAAATTAACCCAAATTCAGGACCGTGCTAACATTTTGGCGCTGCAGTCGACTGTTGTGTGTGTACACACATTTATTTAAACGCTGGCCGCTTGGGCCACGGCTCCTCCACCTCCCAGCACTTGAGCTGAAGCACAAGCACGGTGGAGAATTGCGCGTAAATTCGTTGCGGTCTCGCGTCATCAACTTAATCGCCGTCAACAGCAGTCAACAGCATCAAACTGGCAGGCAAATGTTGCTACTGTTTCCAGCAACCGGCAACCGGCAGGGAGACAGACGCAGTCCGTCCGGCGACTGAGGCAACAGAAGCACCAGCAGCAAATGTGAAGTGGTTTTTTTTATGATGAGCCGAGCCCAAGCAACGCTTTCCAACCGAGAGAAGGACGGACGGACGGCACCGTCACCACAACAAAAGCGCGTCGGTCGTGTTTGGTAATGGGAAGTATCTATACCTTTTGCACCTGGATGTACACACACTTTGTTGAACTCTTCTGGGCACAACCTATGGCAAAACCAATGTTTGCATTTGCTGGGGCTAGAGAAGAAAGAGATCAGCCAATTTTGGCTTATAATTAATTTAAATTAAAATATTTAAATACAACCCATATATTTTAGCTTTAAAATAATGATTAACAGAGTTTAAAGGCCTTTTGTTAGACCTTTCCAATGAATTTAATGTTTAAAATCTCTTCAGATCTAGGCGATTCATATCTGTTGTGTACATACAACTTCAATATTTGCTTAATTATGGAAAACCATGACAAGAAACTAGTAAAATAAATGAGAAAGCCTTTTAACCATGGCAGCCCAGTCAAATTAGCGTGGCCTTAAGTTCAATTCTTTAATCTTCAATTCCTCTGCCTGGAAACTATGTATGTAAGTGGGTTTCACCCCACTTTAAAATATACTTTTTCTGCTTTTAACAGTGGTTGTTAATCCCTGATTTTGTTGTCACCCTTACCCATAATTAATACTTATAAAATGACATACATAAACCAACTCCGGCCGGTGCTCTTCCTGTTCTACTCGGTGGAGACGTTCATCAATATAGTTCTGATGCACTATTACCTGAGCGCATTGGTTTTTATTCAAGAAACGACATTGTTCATAACTAAATATACGTGGTACTACAGCTACCTGGTGTTCATCTACTTTTTCACTGTATTGACGCTGCTTGCCAGCGTGAACGTGTGTACCAAAAACAAGCCGTCGATCCTCGAGGAAGTTATTCGCCCATTGGTGGCCTTTATTGCATATACGATATTAACGTTTTTAGCTCTATTCGACGCCACTGAGAACTTCCCGTTCATGTTCGTCAATACGGCGAATAATGACGTGCTACAACCGGAAAAGCCCCTGCAGCCATACTTCAAATTTCTGCGCGCCCAGGCGACGGCCTCGCTGTCGTGCAGTGTGGTCTATCTGCTGCACTGCTTCATCGCTCTGGATGTCCTGCTGTCCAACGAGGACTCGGACAGCGAAGAGGAACGGTTGTCCGAAGACTCTGATATTGTTCTCGAGGTGGAGGCGGAGTATACCCCGGTGCGGCTGTTTGTGCTGGGAAGCCACATGCAACGCTGGCTGGAGAGCTTTCAGTGGTTCCGAGACTACATCAACGAAGGTGTCCAGGAAATCTGAGTTCCTGAATCTTAAAAACTATACTCGAACACTCCCATCCTGGGCAACAAAATATAGTTACTAATGCGCACTGTTGCCATATCGCTTCAGGGCCCAAAAGATTCGACATTGCCGATTTGCATGCGTAATCCTTATTATGTAACAAGAACTAGCCAGTTTGTCCTGTCCCTAGATAATTATGTAGCCAGAACCAAAGACGTACCCATCGCTGTTCCTATGACGTCAGTGTGAAGCAACAGTTACGGGCTGCATTGGGGCAAAGCTCATTGTCGTCAATGTGTCAACGATAAGCAGCTGGCGCCTTAGCCAAATGTACATCTATGCATCGCTATCTGTATATATCCGGCGTTAGTGCGCAGGCCCGGAGCCGGAGAGCGCCAATCGATAAATTATGGGGCAGAGCGGCAGTCAAGAGCAAGGTAAAACGTTGCCCTGGCACTCGGATGGGTGTTGGGTGTTGGGTGTTGGGTGTGGTGCTTTCATTCATAAAACTTGTGTGCTAAACTTTAGATGTACATATGCCCAGAGCCTTCTCTCCGTGAACTTACTCAAGGCTATTTTTAACGCAGGCCAACGGGCTGCCATCGGCCGGATGTGGCAGGTCCCAGAGAAGTTTTTGCTTACGGCTCCCGCAAAACTATGCAAGGTACCATCGCCATGCAATTTACTGAGTCAGCCTGCAAGTAAGCAATGGATATCTTCACAAATTTGCACAGAAAAAGGGTCACATGAGAAGATGTAACCGATATTTTATATTTGATTATTGAACACTAGAGAGCCCTGTCCCTCTTCTTGTCCCTAAAATGTTTAAAGTAATTCCTTGATACCTAATTATTTCCTATTCAATACAATACATATAAAATAAAATATAGAATATAAATTTAATTTAAGAAATCCCACATCTTATTATCCTTGTAATCCTCAGAAGTTAAAAAGGCAGTAAAGATGTCATTTCCGACCCTATAAACCATATATATTCTTATTCGGCATTATAAAGTAGAGTTTATCCAGCAATGTACCTTAACAAAAATAATGATACTACTTTCTTTCAAAATTTTTAAATTTTCAAAAAAACTAAAAAAAAACGTTTTTTTTTTTATTATTTTGATTACATTGATAAATACCGATTTAAAGCTCCTAGAATGTTTAGATTTAATGTCTTCTTAAGGCTGTCATAGGCCAAGAAGCTGCTGATTGCCAAAAGTGATTCCGATTCCTCCTCTTCTTTTGGTTTTTTTTTTTAACTTAGTGTTGGTATCCGTGCATCTTATAAACTGTACGTAACATAACGTATATTGGATCATTTTTAAATTGAATTGAATTGTTTTTTGCCTTAAAGTATTATTTCATTTTAAGACAGTCCATTAAACCGGGATTCCTTAAACTAAGAATTTCTTTAAGAATTGCGTAATGATGTAATATTTTTAAAGGTTCTAGTTATTTTCCTCTTGTATTATATACATATAGTATATTAAATCCAAAATATATAAAATCCTTATGTTAACAACATTTTTTTCCGTATTCTATGGATTTCAAAAGTATAAAATAAATTTCTCCACTAATACGTTGGTGTCCTGGTAAGCCAGAAAATCAATTCTCCACCAAGCTGGCTTTAAATGCAACGCCCAAACGCTCCAACGAGTGGCATAAATCCTAAAGAAAAGCATTTAACAGAGAGGAAACGCAAAACGTACTTTCGCCCACGCTGAAAGCGAATGTGAAAAGTACATAAATGCGAAAGGGAAAATCGATAAGGACGCCATGCCGCGGGAGCGTTGTGTCCTTGAAACCGAAAAGGGAAAGAGCCATTCATGAAATTAGCCGAGGTTTTCATGAATGAATATGGCCAGCGAGAAGCCAGGGGGATTCGGTTCGGGATTTGGTGAGCATGCGCCCAGCTCTGCGGGCTCGCTCTGGACCTGACTTCGAAAACTTCCCCTGTTCAGGGCACTGACGCAACCACAATGCGCTGCTCCAAGGTCAGCGTAGAATTTCATTCATAAAAGTGATACGCCCCGTGGCGGAAAAGTATACACATATATGGGTGTTTGTGCGTACACGCGCGTGTAAGTTCCCTGGGGGGGGAGTGGTTAACTGGGATGGGAGGGACAGGATGGGTAGATAAATGGATGGCGACTGGGACGTGGAGCCAAGAATCGGTTGCGGATGTCGGCTAAACGCGCACTCCATTTGCAGCTTGTTGATTTTTCTACGCGTGCAAACACAAACAAAGCGGGAAAACCTTTTCATTCATGAATCCAACAGGGGGCGGTCCTCCCCATGGTCCTCCCTGCCCCCCGCGAAGAGCTCGGGGCCCAAAAACAATTTTTGGAGCAAATCCAGAAAACAATTTCTCGCTAAGCTGAAAGCAATTTTTGCTGCTAGGAATTTGTGGTAAACTTAGTCATTTGATTTTGTCCTTTAGGTGCGGGTAAATGGGGATGACTGTCGGCTTACCGACTGGAAAATGTTAAAGGTTATTTATACATATGTACATATGTCTATGGAATGATGGTTAAGGAAAATGATAAACTTTATATGGTACATGTACATACATGGATACAAATATTCCTGAAAGTTTAGAATTATGGATGATGTATATAAAATTAATGTATCTCTTTTTCCCTTCAAGATATGGCGTAATATTATGTATTTAATTATTTTTTACATTTATAATTACTTATTAGAAGCAACTTAGAAAGGCAACTGATTAGTTTCAGTGCAGAAACGGCTTGAAGATCGAATTAGGGGGATCCTTCTGTTACCACCGATTCGGATTTAGTTGGCTAAATTGATGAAATAAAACAAAGCAGGGCCTTTTTAAATCATAATTTAGTAAATATGTTTATAAAGTTTATGTGGACAATGATAATTCGGCCTTTATTGAGCTAAAGGGCATACATTTTAATATTAAAAAAAAAACTAAATTAAAGGACAAATTCGACTGTTTCCAGAAAAAAAGCTGCAAAGTCAAGACTAATGCTTCGTGTTTTTTTTTTTTTTTGTCTTTTTTGTAAGTGAAATTTAAGGTTTTCTGTTACCTTTATCATAATGGCTCTATGAGCAAAAGAAGCATGTAGGTCCTGCTGCTGTTGCTTATTAGAGCTATCACCAATATCGAATCTGATGAATTTTGATTCTATGACAACTAGATAGCTTACCCTTCAGAGCACAATATACTACCTTAAAGCAGTTAACAATCTGTAGCTTGGAAATTCAATAAGAGATGTATTACTTACTAAGCTAATGTATAATTTTGCTGTATTTTTATTTAAATCTTCGTAGCCTAGTCCCACTTTATTCTTAAATGGAATTTAATAGTAATAAAGCTTTTTGGGAAACATTTTATTTATTTTACTCTTCAAGTGCTCCGGTAACAGTCCATGTGGTAGTGACACCCCTCAAAAGAGACTTAATAAACTTACAGAAATTGTTTTAAGAGCACACACACCCGCAGTTTCAGGCACTGTTTTGGTTTTTGTTGTTTCCTAGAGAACGTCTAACTTGAGCTATCAACTAAAATACATTTTAAATCCGTTCTCGCTTATACTTAAGTAAGTCTAATCATGTGACAGGGAGCAAGACGAACCGAAAAACGAAATATCAAAAACGCAACGCAACTACGTACAAGGTAAAAACCAAAGGTTAAAATAATAAATTAGCATCGATTTATGGCTATAGTTGTGTCGTTTGATTGCCACCCGCGGCATGCCCGGAAGCACCTCCCTTGTCCAGCAGGCTGGGTATCCCGGGTTCCGACTCGGATCGCTTGTGCGTTCGCTTCGGCAGCCGATGTGACAAGACCTTCTTGGGACTTGCTTCACTGCCGCCGGAATTATCGAGCAGCATCAGATCTGGCTGGCTGCGCACCAGGTCCTGTTCCTGGTACACCTCCTGGGCGGCGGAGGCTGCGTTAGTCACGTTAGTCACCTGCTCGTTGAGGCACACATCATCCAAATCGACGTCGCTGTTAGAGAAGAGAGCCGTGGCCCCGAGTTCCAGCGAGTTTGTGACATCCAGCTCCTGCTCACTAATTGCCTTCTTTGGCGTTGACGTGGAGGCGATTGAGGCACGCGAAAAATTATGGCTCACGTCGAGATTGGCACTGACGCTGGGCGGGGTCAGCAGTGTGGACACTTGGGCTGATGGCTTGCTGCCAATGCTGATGTTATTATTATTGTTATTCTGTCCGCCCAACGAAATGGTGGAGGAGACAGGCGCCGAGGTGCCCACTGGCGGCACATTGGTCATGCTACTCGGCGTGGAGCTATTCCGCTCCGTCTGATGCTCCTTCATCAGCTTGCAGGCCTTGCCCAGCGCACAGATGGTCAGGCAAATGCGTAGGCCCATGGCAAATAAGTAAGCCAGCAGGAAGAGCAGCCAGGCAGCCAGGTTCTCGAAAGACACTGCCGTATATATGGCTTTAATCAAGACCACCGCCAGGGGAAACGGTATGAAACCCATGCGGCGAGCCACTAAGTCGGAGTGATCCGAAAAGGCATGCTTCTGCCGCGTCTGGGTCATGTCGTAGGCCAAACTGGTTGTGTACTCCCGGTAAATGTTCTCTGGCAGCTCATTGAATCTCGTGATAAAAGCATGCTTCACCCAATCAATGAGAATCTCTGTAAAGAGCACTGCGAAACAGTCGGGCAGCATCACACAGAACTGGGTGATGCTCCAATCAAACTCCTTCATAGTCTGGATTACCACGATGAACAGCAACACGGACAGGTGGAAGCGCTCCCGAACATCACTGCAGGTCAGCTGGAACAGGTTGTTCTTGTCGAACTTCTTGAACACGGATCCCTTGAGCTCCACAAAGTTGTTCGATATCATGATGGTCAACAGGCCCTTGTTGTTTGAGTTTACTGCCACATTTAAGCAGGTTGCCTAGAAAGGGATTTTATAGTTTCCTTACAGGATTCAAAGTGAATCTAAAACTCACTTGGAACATGATCAGCCCGCTGTGTAGCAACACATAGATCAAAGTGAATAGGACGTGCGTGAGGACGCCAAAGTGTTCGCGCTTGGAATGCTTCGGCTCGGTGGCCGTCCAGAAGAGTGAATCGATAGTGTCCTGGCCAAAGGCCGACAACAACCGATCGCCAACCTCCAGCATATTGTAGAAGATGTACAGCTTGATGATCGACTGCGATTTGATGATGTGGTACACCCGGTTCGTGTCCACCAGTAGCATGATAAGCGTCACCGTCATCCAGATGACGCCCTTGAGCAGATCGCAGATTTCCGCCGGATACAGAAGCCTTTGACCGCTGCTCCGAAGCCGGAAAATCCTCGCCACCGTACGGGACACCAAGGCCCAAATGGCCATCAGAAATCGGACGGGCAGAAATGTGTGTATGTAAAGGAAGGAGTCGGCGCACTGCATGATCCCGTAGACCATGAACCGCTCCAAGTCGCGCGGTATGCGCATGAAGCTATAGATCTTCTGTCGACGAGCCGAATATCGCTCCTCGTCATGTTCCAGCATATAGCCACGGGTCATTTCCACCTTGAAGAAGTCGTAGAAGGTGTTGGTGCAAGTCTCTGTGTTTCCTAAAACCGATTAAATAAATATATATAGTTTCTTCTTCCTGGGTTCACCCATTAAAATCCTTGTTTACCGTTCTGAAGTCGCTGCTGCGCCGCCGTCGCCGCTGCCGTCGGCGTCGCTGCAACGTCATCCTGGGTGAGCTGCTTTTGCTTGATCTCATCGTTGTGGTGGTGATGATGATGATGCAGTTCCTCCACCCGGCTGCTGGTGTTAACGTCGCCACGGAAGCGCAGCTGCCGCTTGCCGCCACCGGAATTGAGTGCGGTGTTCATTAAGTACGGGGTATCGCCATAAAATTAATAATAATAACAACGAGCCGTGAAGTGTCTGGTAGGGATGTGAAAAATATCTCAAGATATATCGATATTTTATGAATAAAAATAAGTATTTTTATTTGATATTTTTGTATCCGATATATCTGATATCGGTATTTATTAATATATTTATGATTTCTCCTTAAATCACGGTATCGAGAGGCTAAAACAGCGTTTCAAATCAGTGAGAGAGAGTGCCTCTAGCTCTAGTATTTTGTATTCATGTCTCGATACAGGCCTTTAAAACATCCGTTTGAATTTATTTGCCTCTCGCTCTCGCTCTCTCTCTCTCCCTCTGCTTTGAAACCCTCCAATACTGGCTCTATTTTTTTCCATATTTGTCCAATTAGCAACTATCGTTGTCACCGTTTTAGCAACCGATTTATATATCGCATCAGAACCTACGAATAGCAATCGATAGATAGAAAATACCAAAACCAAACAATCGCTCTCCTGCCATCTCTAAATAAACGCTTAGAAAAATATATTCATTTAATTTATTTGATAAAATATGGCCGCTTCCGTGGAATTGAGCTCGTATCGCGATCAGCACTTCAAGGTGAGTGTGTGACACGAATCGCAAAAGAATATTTATAATTCTGTAACTCCATTTCAGGGCTCTCGCTCGGAGCAAGAGCGATCACTCCGCGAGTCGTGTACACTGTATGTGGGAAACTTGAGCTTCTACACGACGGAGGAGCAGATCCACGAGCTATTCTCACGCTGCGGCGATGTCCGGGTTATAGTCATGGGCCTGGACAAGTACAAAAAGACACCATGTGGCTTCTGCTTTGTGGAGTACTACATAAGATCCGAGGCGGAGGCGGCCATGAGGTGAGACACCATCGTTCAAGCGGGAAAACCACATTGTTCCCGGCTCTAGAATTTTTTTCTGGCAACTAGCTTTTGGAGGTCCATATCAAGATTAGAAAATCCATTTGACCCTCTTTCCCAAGACCTAGTAGGAAAACTGCTTAAACCCTTTCAGCTCTAGACTTGAAAATCCGCTCTTAAGTAAAATGATTTTTAGAAAGCCTTAGCCTTCCCAGGGCTATACAATTTCGAATACCAGTTTTTAACAACTTTTCCCATATTTTAATGATATTCCAAAATTGAATCTATTTTTCTGGTTTACTCTCTCCAGATTTGTAAATGGCACGCGCTTGGATGACAGACTGATTCGTGTCGACTGGGACGCCGGATTTATCGAGGGCCGACAATATGGACGCGGCAAAACTGGTGGCCAGGTGCGCGACGAATATCGTACGGATTACGATGCCGGTCGAGGCGGCTATGGCAAGCTGTTGTCGCAGAAGATCGCCCCCAATACCGACAACCGCTAGATGTAACAATTAGATTAAAGACTAAGCCCCAAAGTAGATATTAAAGCAAACATCTAGATATAACACCTCTAATCGCATATATTGTACGTGCTACATATAGTTCTTTTCAAGATGTAATTGATATCATTGCGGCCTAGCAGTTACTGTATGAGTTTCTCTAGCGTATTGGGGAGACTGGAATCCTTTACTTCTTGCCAATGTTGTTGGCCAGCGAGCAGCTAAGGCCGGTGCCATCTGGCTCCACGTTCAACTCGGTCACCTTGCCGTTCTCCACCACCAGGGAGTAGCGCTTGGAGCGCACGCCACCCAGTGGCGGCAGATCAATTGTCACATCCAGGGCCTTGGTAAAGCCACCGGCGGGATCGGCGAGAAGGCGCACCTTTCCAGCAGCTCCGTGCTCCTTGCCCCAAGCGGACATCACAAACGGATCGTTCACGGAAACGCAAACAATCTCGTCTACGCCCTGCTTTGACTTCAGCTCGTCGGCGGAGCTCACATAGCCGGGCAAGTGGGTCTGTGAATTACGAAATTTAATCAATAATTATAGTAGGAGGGTACAATGATAAAACGATACCTTGGAGCAGCCAGGAGTAAAAGCGCCGGGCACACCGAATATGATCACTTTTTTGCCGTTAACTAGATCGCCGGTGTTGATCTTGTTAGCAGGGGAATCCTCGAAGAGGTCCACCGTTGGCAGGGAATCACCTACCTAAAATAAAATGAGTGTGTTATTAAGGTAAGGCACCACTACATTCGCATGTTCGACGTCTTTAATTGGGACAAATCAAAAGTTTGACGAGTTATTGGTTGGTTGGTTATTCCGGCCCGAAGTGATCTTTGGTCTGCGAGCCGTCCCGAGTTCATCGCAGACGAATGTTGGGCAGTATTCTTTAGCTAGCTAAAATTAAAAGGCTCACGCCCACGAGGTAACCTTGAATTGCACTCGGGTGCAGTTTTCTCTTCCGGCACAATCAATATTTATGCACCGTAGCCCCACCGGCCTTATGTAACGGGCCCCGGTGGTTGTATGGCCAGAATCCGGCGTTTATTGGTGTCACCCACTTACTTTGACCATGGCTGGCACTGTTCTGGACAGAGATCGCACCAACTTGATTTGCTGGGGCAACGCGGAGTTAACAAGAAATTTGCACAGCACTCGCATTCTCCTCTCTTCTCCTTCTTCTTCTCACGCACACAAATGGCCGCTGCATCAGGGCGCAGCGTTGCCGGACGGAAAAAAACACAGGGGGTTTAGTTCTTTCAGTCAATTTTTACTACCTTTGGGGAAATAAAAACAATTAATTTGCTTAGCGGGGGAAGGATGGGCATCCGTCGGAGGGGGTGGGGTTTGCTGGATCAATTGGGGCGTCATGCGGGCTATGTTGTCGCTCTGCTGACTATGCTATCAGCGAATCTCTCCAGGTCGTCTAAGCTCTGCTCGTTCAGTTTCTTCTCGAAATCGGTCATGAACTCGTTGGTCAGCCGCTCCGCCTGCTGCTCCGGATAGTGCTTGCGGAATCCCCGCTGGATGCTGTCGCGCAGGCAGGGTTTCATCACCACCAGGTTGAGTTTGGTGCCCTCCTTGATGTTGGGATAGGAGGCAATTGTCTGCTCGTTGTTTAAAGGTCGCCCGAGTAGCAGGAGCTTCTGATTCGCCGCCGAGATCTGGAGTTCCGTTTCAATCTGTTGTTTCACCTCCAAAATTGTGGATGTCGGCGCGACCTGCGGGCAAAGTTCATGAACAAAAAGGCTTTTAGGAGGCGGCGAAATCGAATAGCTTACTTCCAGCGTGCAGTCCGAGCCCTTCAGCACTTTGATTGTGATCTGCATGGCAAAATGTAATAAAATTAAGGAAATTTGGGCCGCAATATAAACAATGTCGCTACAGCGTTGCCACCTGGCAGAAGTCTCCGAGCTGCCACAGATTTCGAACTGGCACTTGCTCCACTATCGCGACTATCGACAACAACGACAGTCCGGCAAGCCTGCCGGCTTCATGCAGCCCTGGCAACTCTATCTATTGAGCAGGCCCGTCAACGTTGCGTGAATAAAAAATAAATTATTTACAATTGAACAGCCGCTGAACTGAGAAAAAAAGGTGAACTTGAACCCGGTGCCCGCTTACAGTCCGTCGGGCTGCAAAGTGCGAGATTCGCGAGCGAGCCTTGTGAAATTCGCACGCGAAAATCGCAGAGATCGAAGAAATTGCAGCGCAAATAATACATAGCTCGCGGTGTGCGTTTGTGTGAGTGAGTGCGAGTGTGTATGTGCGTGCGTTTTTGTTAGAACTCGCATTTTACGTAAAGAACAGCTTTTATCGGCAGTGAATTTGATGTTGGCGAGCCTAAATCGCAGCCGGGGAAAACTTAACAAGTTCTTGCAACTTGTGGCGGTAAAAAAAAACTCCCAATACCCAGAAATCCAAAACCCGACCAACCTCGCCCCTTGACATTCAAGGTCTTGGGTGCAAGTGCAACTATTAATTGTGCCTAGTACACATTTTATTTATAAGCCATCATCTCCCTGTCCCCTCAGTTCCCCTGACCCAGCAACTCCTCGCACCTCCGACAAAAAAAAAACCCCAACACCACCCAAAAGTGCTCTTCTCTTCCCATAACATGGCAACCCTGGCAATTGGACGACGGCCATTGCTTCCCAACTTGTTGCTCGTCCCTCGCATCGCTCGCTCTCTCTGTCACGCTTGCCTCTCTGTCCCTCGCGAGTGTTTTGGCATTTTTGTTATTTATTTCCTCGAGTGTAAGTTGTGCGAAAAACCAAAATGTCTGTCTTTTGTTTATAAGTGCACCGATAATTCAATAATCCGATGCAAAGCCCAAGCCCTAGAGCCCACACATGTCCAATTGGGAAGTTACAGCATTAACCTCTGTTTGGTACCGTTTGGAACCGGATTTGCTATGCTAGAAGAAAATCGTGCTTCTTGTGATGTGGGGACTTCTTGTGACAACTTTGGATCTCTGATCCGAAGCGGTTTTCCGCCATTAAGGCAATTCCGATTGGAAAGCGCTAACCGAGAGAGAGATTCTAAAAGGTTGCTCCGTTTCCTATTAGCACTGTTCAAACAGTTGCGGCCAGTTGAATAGACTAGGATTGCATAAATAATCAATAGGATTTTATCAGTCGTAATCTCCAACATTTCAAAACGATACAAAATTTAACTTCTGTTTCGGTGTGAAACAGAATTTAATTTTTATTTTATTTTTAAAATTTGTATTTATTATTATTTTTTTGTTATGCATTATAAACAAAACGCACAGTTTCCTATGTCGATAAGTAATACTTATTTCTGACCTCAGGTGTATGAATGTCTCAGTGTGTGAGCCTGTGTGTTTTCAGATTTAATAGCATGATATTGTTGTTGTTATTTTTTAGTTATTGCTACGTTAATTTCTTTCTTTCGACACTCCACAGTGCAAATATATAATTTTCAGATAGCAATCGATTGAGCGGTACAGCCGGCTGTTGTATTTGTTTGTTTGTTTGTTGGTTGTTTACGTTTTTTTTGTTAAAAGAGCCAAAAAACCGGAGAAGGAACTCTGACGACTGCGTATTATGGATAACGAGGCGTTAGAACCAACAACAGCGGCACCAGCAGCAGCAGAGACAACAACAACAACAACGGCAGCAGCAGTAACCGCAGTATCATCACCAACCATAACATCAACAACAACAGCATCAGCGGCGGAATCAAAAAACGAAACAGCCGCAAACAATAACACCAATAGCAGCAGCAACACTAGCGGCAACATAGTCATACCAACAACGGCCACTAACGGTATCAAAGAGAGTAACAGTAACATAAGTACAACAACACCAACAACAGCGCCAGCAGCAGCAACCACAACCACGGCGGCCATACCAATTGTGGTGACCAGCGGCGGTGTTCCAATCAGCAGTGAGGTGAGTTGTGAGCCCCCACCTTCTCCTACTTTTTGCCTCACCCTCCCCCTTTGCCTCACGCTCTGTCTCTTTCACCTGTCGTCGCCCTACGCATGCCTACCGTTATTTGACGTAAAGTAGAGAGTAATGCTTACTCGCACATGTACGTTAGTGTGTGTCTTTTTTTTTTTTTTTTTTTTTTAATTCGTTTAATAGAGCAAAGAAATATACAAAAGAGTGGGGGGATAGAGGGGTTTGGGTCACACAGAACTCGGGACGGTTTGCTCGCGCGGTACGGCCGCGAAGCAATGCTTCGCGCGGGCGCTGATCCCGATCTATGCTGCCTCCTGGTTCCTGCGACGCTCCTCTGCTCGGAGCTCCGTCATAGTCCTCGCTGCGAAGTCCGACACGGCCTGCCAATTCGCTTCGGACAACAACATCAACGGAACTAGGTTTTCCGCTGTGATGGTGTTGCCCAGCCTGGCCTCCAGCGCTGCTCGCTCGCCGGCAAACCTCGCACAATTGAAAACCGTGTGCTCTGCCGTCTCCTCCAGCTGTCCTAGACAGTGCGTGCAGAAGTCGTCTTCCTCGTGGCCGAATCTCCGCAGGTAGCTCCGAAAACAGCCGTGGCCGCTGAGGATCTGGGTCAGGTGGAAGTTTATCTGACCGTGCTTCCTCCTCAGCCAGCACTCCAGCTGGGGAATCAACCGAAACGTCCATCTTCCCTTGGACGCTGACTCCCACCGCAATTGCCACGCTGCCAAGGTGGCGTCTTTCGCCGCTACGCGTATCACCTGCTTGTCACGAGGTGACTGCGTTCTACCATTCGTCTGGCCATGGATGCTGGCCCTCTCTACTGCGAGTAGGTCTAGAGGTGGAGTCCCGGCTAGGACAAACGCGGCCTGGTCGGACACCGTCCTGAAGGCGCTGCATATACGTAGTGCCGCGAGGCGGTGGGCCGAGCACAGTCCGCGACTATAGGCCGGGGTCGCCAGTGCGTGTCCCCAGACTGGTGCCGCATAGAGCATGCTGGCTCTGGCTACGCTGGACAGTAGCAGCCTGCTCGCCTGCTTCGGGCCCCTGTGGTTCAACATTAGTCTGCCGACTGCTCTCACCGCTGTGGCGGCCTTTGTGCTAGCATACGCTAAGTGCTCGCGGAAGGAGAGCCTCGTATCGATCATCACGCCCAGGTACTTAATGGCTCTGGACGATCTGATCGAGGCCCCGCACACTCGGATGGTTGCGACCTCCACCTTCTTCCGGCTGCTTACCAGCACGGCTTCCGTTTTTTGCGGCGCTAGTTGTAGGCCAACACTGGACAGCCACAAGTTTATGCGGCTGATGCTCCTATCGCACAGCTCTTCTGCTCCTGCGAGTTCCTTGTCTACTACGACTACGGCTATGTCGTCTGCAAAACCCACCAGCTCGGTCCGACCTGGTAGCGGGAGCCGCAGAACACCGTCGTACATAGCGTTCCACAGCAACGGAGCCAGGACCGACCCTTGCGGCACTCCGCAGGAAAGCTCAGCCGATCTAGCACCGCCATCGGAGTCGTACACCAGAGTCCTGCCTCTGAAGTAACTCTTCAACAGCTCCAAGAGGTACGGGGGTACTCCGAAGCTGGAAAGTGCGTCTAGGATGCAATCCCATCTCGCCGTATTAAAGGCGTTGCGGACGTCTAGCGTGACTATCAGGCAGTACTCCTTCGCGCCTCCTTTCCACCGTTGTCCCGCAATGGCGGCTTTCGCGATGCCCACCACTTTGGAGATGGCATCTACTGTCGACTTAGCCTTCCTGAAACCGAACTGGGAGTCGGACAGGTCGCCGGCTGTGGCAATGGCCTTCTCGAGCCTCGTCCGGATCAATTGCTCCAGAACCTTGCCCGCCCCATCAATCAGGCAGATTGGTCTGTAGGCGGATGGGTCCTCTGGTGGCTTTCCCGGTTTCGGGAGCAGGACCAGCCTCTGGACCTTCCATCTCCCAGGGAATTTACCTTCTCTGAGGCATCTTCCATAGAGCTCCGCGAATAAGTCCGGGCGGAGCGAGAGAGCAAGTCTCAGGGCTCTGTTGGGAACCAGGTCAGGGCCCGGGGCTTTCGCCTCCCTGATTCTCATCGCCACCGCCAGGATTTCCGTGTCCGTTACTGGCTCGAACCCTTCCAGCGAGTGCGTCGCTATCTCCAGCGTGTCTCTAGGGTTATCCGTCCTCGGGAACAGGTGTTCGACTATCCTGTCGATGCTCTCCGCGTCATGCGGGGCGCCCTGTTTTGCCCCATGGATCTTCTTTACGATGATCCTGTAGGCGTTTCCCCAGGGATCGTGGTCCGCGGTGTCGCAAAGGTCGAGGAAGCATTGGGTTTTGCTAGCCCGGATTGCCGCCTTGAGAGCCTTGCGGCATCTATGGAACTCTGACCGCCTCTCCAGGTGGGAGCTCGAGCGGTAGGAGCGCTGATACCGACGCCTTGCCTTGATGCATTCCGATCTGGCCGCGGCGATCGTATCGTTCCACCAGTACACAGAGTCCCTGTGGCGAGTGTGGGCGCGCTTGGCAGACATGCAGTCGTCGCATGCGGTCTGCAGTTGGATCATGGCAGACTCCGCCATCTGCTCTGCAGAGCCATTTACTTCCAACCTCTGCAAATGCTCAGCGAAGGCTTGGATGTCCAGTGTATCGGCCTTGTATCCCCTACGAGCTTGGGGAAGCCGCGGTGTGGGTTGCGCTCGCTCTATATCCAACGCGGTGATGATCGCCGCGTGGTCGCTCCCCGTATAGACATCGCTCAGGACCCAGGTGCACTGGCTAGCCCTGGAGCAGCTCACAAACGTGAGGTCGACCACCGAACTCGCCCCGGCTCTGCTGAAGGTGGGCTGTGCCCCGGTGTTGAGGAGTGTGACGTCTAGCGTGGAGAACGCCTCGAGGAGGGTCCTGCCTCTGGCATTGGTTAGGGAGCTGCCCCAGTCCACCGCCCAGGCGTTGAAGTCTCCGGCTATAAGGCACGGAGTGTGGCACCTTGCGTCTGCGGCTAGCCGATCCACGGCGTCACCAAAATCCTCGAAAGACATGCTCGGCGCCAGATAGACACTGAACATCCACCAGCCTGCCATCTTGGCACGCACGAAGCCTCTCTCCGAGCGTACGTCAGACAATCGCTTGGGAGTAATGCCGCATGACCACAGAGCAGCTTTGCCAGAGCTGTCCACCGCCCAGTAAGGGCCAGGGCCTACCCTGTACGGCTCACTGATAGCGGCAACATCGACACCGCGTTCTCGGATCGATTGCGGCAGCAAATCGTGTGCTGCCGCGCAGTGGTTCAGATTTAGTTGAACCACTATCATGCCCTTATTGTTTTGGCTGCTCTACGCGACGTCACCAAGGGGCAGTGGCGGCTACCCGCCTGGTGGTTCGTGTCGCTACGGTTCGACTCGGCGCAGCTAAAGCAGTGCGGACTGTTCTTGCAGGCGGCTATCTTATGCCCCTCCTGGCCACACCTGAAGCAGGAGCTGCTCCTGTCGGAGGTGCTGGTGCACCTGGCCGCAATGTGCCCTGTCTCCATGCATCGGAAGCATCTGGGGCGAGATTCTATCCTCTTGATTCGGCATCTCGTCCAGCCGACTTTCACCCTCCCCAGACTATCTATGGAGCCAGCCATAGTCTCTGGGACGGAGAACATTGCCACCTGACCTCCACTTGCGAGGGAGCGGATGCTCTTGATGGTGACGGCACCAGGTGGGCAGTTAGCCTGTGAGGCGAGCTCTGCCGCAAGTTCCTCCCTGGTTACCAGCTCGTCCAGGTCCCGGATAAGGAATGTGGTCTGGGGTGACACTGTGCGGATCGGCACTCCTCCGCCTAGCACACTTCCAATCTGCTCCTTCAGCGCGTTTAGGGAAGGACCAGAGGACTTCTTTAGCTCTATTAAAAGCTCGCCCTTTGCCGTTTTCCTGACTCTGGATACCATATCCCCAACTCCTGCCATTCGGGAGTCCTTTGTGCGCGTGACCATGCTCAGGACCTCGCTGTAGGATATCTCCGCCGCGGGGGTTATGATGATCGCGTCATTTTTGCCCCTCTTACGGCCCTCTCGGCGCATGGTCGCTGACTGCGCCTTCGGTCCGGAGTCGCTGTCAACACGCTTCTGCGCTCTGCCGGCGTTTTGGGTGGGGGCCCTTGGTGGGGGGCGCGTGCTTGCGCGACCGACGGGGGTCGTACCAGGGTTACGGCTTGCGGGACGGGGACGACTTTTAGGAGAAGTCTGCGCTGATTTCTCCGCAGAGGGCCACGCCCGAGTCATCGGTGTGTGTCTATATAAATGTGTGTGGCACACAACACTTCCTTGTACTGCAAATCGAAAAACTTAACTTTATCTAATCTTATCGCTGCAAATGATGTGTGTTACCTGTTGTATCCCACCATTCACTCACCCTGCGCACCGTAGCAGTTAGATGACCAACACCAATTAGATTACCAATTTGGCAATTGTGAATGTCGTGTTGTTTGGATTACAAATCAAATCAGATATCAAATTGAGGCACTCAACGATTCATGCAGAACATTTACTTGTTTTTGGTATCAATTCAATCTAGATTTATCTGGACTTGTAATCGAAAGGGAATTGATAACAAATCCGAAAACCAATGTTCTTTAAGATATGTACATTTTGGTTGTTGTAGGTTTTGGTTTTGGTTTTTAGAGATTTTGTTTAACTTCAAGTTTATTTCTGTTTTGTTTCAATATACTTCGGTTTCACGATTTTATAGAATAGAAGAGAATAGAAATTATAATTATACTTCTTCGTTGTTTTATATGCTATTTAAACTTTAATAGTAAATCCATCATTTTAAACAATAGACATTATTGACTTTGGCAATCCTTGCAGTTATAGCATAATTCTTGGTCAATATCTATAAATTAAGGCCTTAAGCTTGTGTTCAGTAAACAAATATACAGCAAAAACATAATTACTTAGTTCGGGCCATACTTTGGCTCCTTAGGACAAAAGGGTATATTGAAATAATATAATTTGTGGACGAAAATGCAAAGTATTTATTTTCGCTAGAAACATCCCACAAGCAAAGATTATAAAACTACTACAAACACGAGAATGCCGCTTGTGTAGTGCCTGATGAACCCTTATAAATAACGCCACAAACTCCCTGGTAGATGCCAGCAATATAACCCAGTGCGGATGGAATGCCTGCCCAAGCCTAACATGCCTCCACGAACCTGACCCTGTGCACATTCTCTCTTTGTTTGGCATTACTAAAATTAAACTCAGACTAAACCACACCCACAGGCAGCTCGTCTGAGGCGTCAAGGATTCGCGCAGACCAAGGTAAAGGCGATCGATCTTTAAGGCGGCAAAGAGTCACCACATCCGCAGGACCCCTTCTGATCAGATTTTGCAAGTGCTACGTTCGAGTTTGCTTTCGTACATATTGCTTTGCCTTTGTTACAATCGTTTTTACGTTTCCTAACTTATAAACAACAAAATTAGCGTTTGGCACGGAACACCATTTACAAGAACCGTCTAAATCGTATTTAATTGCAGGCTAATAAAGACAAGGACAGCACACCTCCAAGGGATGCACCGCCGCCCACACCGATTACCAAGGGTCTGAACCTTACCGGCACGCCCATCGTCCGCAAGGAAAAGCGCCAAAGCAGCGCTCGCTACAATGCGTCCAAGAACTGCGAATTGACGGCCCTCAGTGCGCTGACCGAGAGTAAGTAGATTCCAATTGAAATGATACCTCCTCTATTTACAATTTAGTGGTTAATCTCATTAGCATGCAGATCGGTTTTCGGGATGGGCCAAATCCAGTAGTAATAATAGGGAAGAGAGTTTTCTGTTTCATGACAAAATGATCTTTATAATGATATATCAATTATATACTTTTTGCTTTGCTTTCGTATTTTGTCTAGATTGACTTTAAATGTGATAGACTCGACTGTATTTCCATGTGTTTAGTTTTACTTTGGATTATAATTATGTATTATAATGTATTGGACATAGGGTTTTGAGCTATTAAATGTCGAAGATTGTAATCAGAACTTATCAGAAACTAATTAACTGATCCCCCAAATACGATTATGTGAGCGATAGACATTACTCGTGAAATGTAACAATGTCTGTATAGTATTCAAATATATATTTATTTGTATGAAAATATCAAATAACAATTAGCAGAGCTCTGTAACTTTCCGTTGTTATATTTGGGCCTATTGCATTCCGATCTGCAGGCATATAGAGAACATTGCCGGAGAGCCGAGCTTGAAGCCTTCTGCTACTGGCGCTACCTTCGCTTGACTATTTTTGCTCAGCTGTTGCAATTTGTTTATTATTTGTTTTAATCACGTACGCTAAAGGTCAAGGGAGTGTCGTCTGATTAGGTGGGTGGCAACACTGACGCACGGGATACCCTCACACCCCGTACACATCAACTCAGCCTCATCGCTTACATCTCTCACTCTCTAACTCTCCTTCCTTCTTCGACATTTCAACACATGCGCCGTCTTAACAAGTTTTGCATTCCGGCTCTCACTCTCGCGTACTGTGAGTGCCATCGGATTGTTATTCACTTTACCTTTTTTGCTAATTGCTTTCAGTTGGTTTCGTTTATAAAATAAAAAAAATGCATGTTTGAAAATATTGTTTTATTCCGTCTGTTTGCGATTGTTGCGGCGGCTTTTTTCCACTATAAGAGAGTGGCTACAATCGCCCACCCACCCACACCGCGCTTTCTCTCTTTCTCTGTTCTCCGCTCTCTCATTCTCTTGAATGTATCGATTTTTCCGATTGCCCGCAGTAAGCAACAAAAAAGAACCGTTTGCAGCACCGCGAGCCGTAAAAACTTGAGTTAATTGTTGAAATTATTTGACCAAATTCGTTAATTGCCGTTCCCGATCCCGCCTCCTTTGTTGCCAATTAAAACGTAAGTGGTCAGCATCGATTTAAGCTGCATTTCGGCGAGGGAAAACTTTTTGCCCAGAGGCGTGTCGTTTGTTTCGTTGTCATATTCATTATCATTTCCTTTTTCATTTCCACTCACGGTAACAGTTACCGTTACATTTTTCCAATGCATCTCATTTCGTTCTGGCATTAATAAACCATTATCTATATTACAATTCCATTACAGATCCTATAATTTCATGCCCAAATTGAGTTTCTAGTGTACGAATAGTCGGTTTTTATGTGTTGTTGTTGGTCGGTCGGCGGGGGCGGCTGAAACGGACTACCGGTTCCATTTCCATTCAATTGCGAGACATTTGAACCAAGTGCGGCACTAATGAGATGGTCTTCGGTGCTATGTTGCTGACGGGCAACCTTAACGGCCCAAAACAGCAGCAGCAACATCAGCAGGAGCAGGATCAGCAGCCGCCGCAGAAGCAGGAACAAAATACAAAACCTGCGGCCCCCCAGTCCTCCAGCACCAGCCGGGAGCAGCAGGATCCGCAACCCATTGCAGCCGGGTATTATGCCCTCGGCATTCGCATACCAAAGTCGCCATCGTTTCACAGCGGACTAGACCAGCTGGCCGACGACGAGTTGGAGGATCAGGGTCGGGAGCAGCCGGGGCAGGAGCAGGCCGGAAGCCGATTCAAGTTCAGCAGCGTGGAGGAGCTTAAGGCCAAGTTTGAGGGGCGGAAAACGCCCCTCTCGCCGCCCGAAGCAGCAGCGGCGACAGCATCAGCGGGAGTAGCAACCACATCATCCTCGCCCTCATCCTCGTCCACCAGCTCAAACTCCTCGGCCTCGGCGCTGTCCTCACTGTCCCAGGCGGCTTCATCCTCGCTGGCCTCGGCGGCTGCGAACTCCTCGGCTTCATCCTCAGCAGCCACCTACGGCGGTGGGGCAAATTCGGCGGCAGCAGCCCTGATAGCTTCCTCCCCCTTTGGATCGCAGTCCTCTACTTCCTCGTTGTCGCTCTCCTCGAATGCCGGCATGTCGAAGAACCCACCGACAGCAGCTGGATCGGCAGGAGCCTCGAGTAGCTCGACGAGCGCCGGCGCCACAGCGAGTAGTGGAAACTCCCTGGTATCCACTTTGGCGCAGCACTTTTCGGCGGCTACCTCAGCCGCAGCATCGGCTGCGGTAGCAGCTGCCTCCTCTGCATCGGCTGCGTCCTCCTCCACACCTTCCACCGCACCAACCAACAACGCAGCCAGCTCTATCGCCGCCAGCAAGGTTTGCAGCTTGGTTTAGTCCAAACAAAGCCACAAAACACATATTACACCCGCCCTACACACCCAGTCTACACACTTACACACATCTCCTATACAATTGAAAACAAACTGAAAGCTGATAAACCAAAAACCAATCTGCTCTCATTTCATCGCTACCTCATCATCCTCCAGTCACCTGTAAGCGCGGCCGCGGCCATCAAGAATATACTTAATGCCACCAAGAGTGTTGGGAATAGTGCTGCGGCGGCGGCAGCAGCGGCAGCGGCAGCCACCACATCCTCATCATCCTTATCCTCAACGCCTGTGGTGGCTACGCCAGCCGCCGCCGCCGTCGTCCCTCCAACCACCGAGGTGCCCGCAGAGGAGCTGCGTCCGACGGTGGCCCAGAATCTGGTGGGCGGCATTAGCATCTCGTTGGGCATTGGCCAGCGCAATGGGACATCCGCATCGCCAGCAGTTGTGGCGATCCCGAGCACCACGCTAGTGGTGACCACATCCAGCCTAAGCATCCGCCAGAATGGGGAAATAATCCAGGGTCACCCATGTCTCCAGGACTCGCCTCAGACGCTGCAACAGCTGACGGGGAGTCCAGGACGGGCGCGGGACCGGAATCTGTTCTACTCGCCACCCACCGCTTCGGTTGCCCTGGCGCTGCCTGCACTGCGAGGTTGCTATCCCAAGAGGTCTCAGGCCAATGGCTGCGGGAGATACGTACGCTCTGCCTAGCCCTTGGGACCTGAGGCCTTTCCAAACTTTTTGATCCTTTCTGATCTTCATTGGTTTCGTTTTTTGAGTTTCGCTTGCTTGCTTTTGTTGGTCGATTAGAGTTGTACGTTCCTTTTTTTCTTTGTTTTATTAAGGACTATGTTTTTAGTTGTTTTTTTTCTAGATTTACATAGATAGTTTTTTCTTTCCAAAAACTAAGTACTCTGTATTGTGTATACCTTTAGAAACGGCCAACAGTGAAAGGGAGCAATTGTTCATACAAAAGATTCGACAATGCTGCACTCTCTTCGACTTCTCCGAGCCGCTGAGCGACCTCAAATGGAAGGAAGTGAAACGAGCGGCCCTTCACGAAATGGTCGATTTCCTCACAAACCAAAATGGCGTCATCACCGAAGTTATCTACCCAGAGGCGATCAATATGGTAAGCTTAAAGCCTCGCATTCCAAAGAGAACTGTTTTGAGTTTACAGCTCGTTGGTCAAAATTTCACACACTTTGGTAACTGCAAATAAGATATTAATTGGGGGCAACTGGTGCTAGAACAAAGACGAGCACCGAATATCAGGCAAGGTGCCCACAGAAAGCTCCATTAAAGGAAGGGTTTGAGTATCAAAGAGTACGAGTATCAAAAAGTTTTAAGCTCTTCTAAAAAAGTAATTTTGAAAGTGTATTTCATTTGTTTTATTATTTTATTTTATGCAATTTTATTTCAAGTTTGCGGTCAACCTATTCCGCACGCTGCCGCCATCGTCCAACCCGAACGGCGCCGAATTCGATCCAGAAGAGGATGAGCCCACGCTGGAATCGTCGTGGCCACATCTGCAACTCGTCTACGAGCTGTTTTTGCGCTTCTTGGAGTCACCCGATTTCCAACCAAATATGGCTAAACGTTTTATCGACCATCAATTTGTATTACAACTTTTGGATTTATTCGATTCGGAGGATCCACGTGAACGTGATTTCCTAAAGACTGTTTTACATCGCATCTATGGAAAATTTTTGGGCCTGAGAGCATTTATTAGGAAGCAAATCAACAATGTCTTTTACAGGTAAGTGCGCACGCCCGAATCCTCGCTTCTTAGCCCCATTAACTCCTATCTGTGCACTTAGATTTATTTATGAAACAGAGCATCATAACGGCATAGCCGAGTTATTGGAAATCCTGGGCAGCATTATCAATGGCTTTGCTCTACCGCTCAAAGAGGAGCATAAACAATTTTTACTTAAGGTATTGTTGCCATTGCACAAAGCCAAGAGCCTCTCGGTCTACCATCCGCAACTCACCTACTGCGTTGTGCAGTTCCTTGAGAAGGATCCCAGTTTATCGGAGGCGGTTATTAAGTGAGTAAATGGTGATTTCAAAAACGTTCTCCAAATAATGGGATTATTATTGGATATTTTATTTGCAGAAGCCTGCTTAAATTTTGGCCGAAGACGCACAGTCCCAAGGAGGTAATGTTTTTGAATGAGCTGGAGGAACTCCTCGACGTCATCGAGCCGGCCGAGTTTCAAAAGGTGATGGTGCCGCTGTTCCGCCAGATAGCCAAGTGCGTCTCCTCGCCCCATTTCCAGGTGGCCGAGCGGGCGTTGTACTATTGGAACAACGAGTACATCATGTCCCTGATAGCGGATAACTCTGCGGTGATACTACCCATCATGTTTCCAGCGCTCAATCGCAACTCAAAAACGCACTGGAACAAGACCATTCATGGTCTGATCTATAATGCGCTCAAGCTGTTCATGGAGATGGATCAGCGGCTTTTTGACGAGTGCAGCAAGAACTACAAACAGGAGAAGCAGATGTAAGTAAAAGCCGTCACAGAAAGCTGACCAGATGAAGGCAAAAGGGTTCCTTAAACATACGACTTCTATTTACTTCATTTCGGTTTCATGGCAGGGAGCGCGAGAAGCTGTCGCAGCGGGAGGAACTCTGGCAGCAGGTTGAGAGCTTGGCCAAGACCAACCCGGAGTGGACGAAAGCGCGCCGCTTCAACGACTGCCTGCCGGTCAGCGACCGGGCCCTCTTCGATCAATATAATGAGAATTGCGATCTAGCCTACGATCAGAGCAGCGAACAGCAGCAGGCACGCCAGCCGCCGCCTCCGCTGCCGCCCCAGAAGCAGGCCCTGCAGGAGCCCCGAGAGGTGAGACAGGCACTTGCCACACTAACCACACTAAACAACTACTAATCCGCCGCGTGTGATCTGCCTGGCGCCTGCCGTGAGCTGTCCCGCTCTGGCTCAACTCTAATTCTAATCGAACGAATGTCTGTTAAAATAATCACACTCATGTCATTTAAAAAATACATATTTGTATATCTTTAACACGTTGTGTATTTATTTATTTCTTATTGGTTACCACCGCACCGTCAGCCAACCCAAGCAATCCATAAGCCCGTAAACACGACACAACTCTATCCCCTTAATCTGTGTCTATGTGTGTGTGTGTGTGGTCTGCACTCTTGGTTAAGCACAGTGGTTCATTCTCATGTTTAAAATGGGCGAAATTCATAATTAACTTAATTACTATTCACAAATGTACTTTGGTGCATATATTGTTTAGCTATTCCTTATCTTTTGTGACATTAATTTTCTTTTCTTTAACTTAATCGGGTTAACCCATGTTGCATCATTAACTCTTTAATTGCATCTTGACTATACATAAGTGCTTAAAAGGACATACCCTTTAGAGCAGCTTACTCCTGCAATGATTATTATCAACACCTTTTCTCAAAAACGACAACACCGATTATCCTGAAACTTGCAGTATATGTTGGAATAGACTAGAATCTTTTGGTTAGGCCAAGAAGTTTTTTTACAGAGCAAAATAGACAAAAAAAAGTCAGTTAATAAAAATTCAAAGTGGCACCAAATTTTCCCAGATCATAACTGCTTTTAAAGTTTTGAAATCGACCTTGCCAGTTCGCCAGAATCGTGTTGACCATGACAGTACCTTTTTTTAGTGTAGTACTTCTGGTCCCTATATCCCTCGGACATAATTCAAATTCTTCCGGGTTAAAAGGGATTAAAATGAGGTGGATTTTTGGTAGTTCTTTAAAGCCGTTTGAGCATTGTCAACCGTCATCCTTAAACTTATTTTACAGGGTTTTTTGTTGCGTGTCACTAATTTAATATAAATACGATTTGTGTGACCCGTTTGCAGAGTAGCTGTAATTGATTTATTTTTTAATATGTATATCATGGAACTCTTAGAGAACAGTTAATCATTAATAGTTAAGAATGTATATTAAAGCTGGAAATAAATCGATTTTTTTTTAATTCTAAAAATAAATCGATTAAAATTGAAAATATAAATATTTTAAAATTTAAATATTTATATATTTATATATTTATTATAGATCTGTAATTTTATTGATCTCTAAATTTATTTATTTTATTTATTTATATAAAGCTTGGTGTTAAACGTATTGGTAACTAATGTTTTAAAAGCATTGTATGTATTTACATATTTACATGTTTATTGTTTATTTGGATAAGTAGTAAACTTATATCCTAAATTTTATGCGTGAGTCTAGTTTTGTAAAGAAAGTTGAACATTTTTTTTCCATTTTCTGTTGTAGGGTTGGCTAGGAGTTGGATTGGGGTTCCGTGGGAGAAGGATTATGATCTTGGGCTGGGAAAGTGCAGCCCAGTCTATTAGTATATATTTGATGTATATGCAAGTGTAATGTTGCAGAAGGAGCAGGTGTTTTGGAGTGATCTATCCATGTTATGAGCTTTTGTGATTTGGGTGTGACCTAGTCGTAGTCTATTTATTGTTTGGTTTTGCAGTTCTTTTTGTATGAGATTGGCGCGGGATCCAGATCCATATTAGTTTGATTTTAAGAACGAGGTTGGTAACTAGATTTCTTATTGCTGTGGGGTAGAAGGAGTGGTTCTTGGAGTTTGTTATTGATCTTATAGGGAAAGGGAATCGGACCATATAGCATGATGTTTTTGAGCAGATTTTTACGGCTCCATAAAAAGCTATAATTGCGCTGGGGTAGACCGATCTTGATGAGGTCTGTATCGTTTGTTATGCTGTAGCCAAATGTATCTACACATTTAATCTATCGATATTTGTATTAAAATAATAACTTTTTAGTGTTCTTTACCTTTGATATGGCATCGGAAATATGCAATTATCACATAAAACAGCATTGATTATTTTACTAGGTCTGCCAATGAGTCCGGAATGCCAAAATCCGAAAATTTCGGATTCATTAAAAAGTATAAATTATAATTAAATATATTACGTCAACAATGTCAAGCTTTATACTTTACTTTTCGATTAAATTGATTTTAAAAATTCAAATCAATCAATCAATCTATCGCATAACTGAAAAAATCGAGTATAGAATCAATTTATTTCCAGCTCTAAGGTATTATAAATGTGATATGACTGAAAAACTTATCGAAAAAATCGTACGCTTTAATACATTCCATTTTTAATTCTATAAAAAAACGCGTTTAACGGTAAAATATCGATATTTTATTAAAAAAAAATAGTAATGTACGAATATTCTTAAGTTCTCTTCATACCACTGAGAGTCAGCAGATGAGCAAAAAATATGAACATATTAAGCAAAATGGTCCCTAGCCGTTTTCTGTACAATCCTCTAAAACTCTTTTTCTTTCTTGTGTGCCTCCAACTATTTATCTCGTACTCAAAATGCAGTCTAACAAAATAAACCCAAGTGCAAATCTCATTTTTAACAACTGAACAACACTCTAAACACAAACACCACACTCGATCTGAATTGGGACGGCGTAACAAAGTACGACTCCAGGATAATGGCTATCATGTCCTTGGGATTAGTGACCTAACCCGTAGCATTACGACACAACGAAATGGCACAACCACTCGGTATCTTAACGTAACCCACATCCATGTGTAGCACTGTAATTTCATCACTGTCGTGTCGTCGTGTGCAGAGATGCATTTGTTAGTTTACGGGCCGTGTTTCTATTGCCAACCAACCCCACCCTTCCCGTTCCACACACAGATTCGGGGTGAGCGGAACAAGGACAAGCCGCTACTGCGCCGGAAGTCGGACCTGCCCTCGGACAGTGGGACCGTGAAGGCGCTCATCGAGCACAAGCGGACCGATGAGTACCTCACCACGCCGCCAGATGGGAACAACTACTAGGTGGAAGCCGGCGGATCAGCGAATCAATGCCCAAAGATATCCACACTAGGTTTACGGAGAAATAAAACCCGCCGAGACCCAGAACGAACACACTAAAAAAAGCCATTTAATGAGTTATTTATTTTTTTAAGTTTATAAAGAACAATGACACGAAGGCCGCGCGAAGCTGCGCATGCGACCAGCAGCCCCCGTTATTTTCACACCATATGGCGCCAAATAAGCAAAACTAAACAACCCAGAAAAAAACACACTCCACACCAAGCGAAATACAAAACCCGAAAGAAGAGGAAGGATACGATGAGCACGATTAGAACGAACAAAGAAAATTGATTATTTGAATGCATTTGCATCGCATTTTTGGGGCTTAGTGGGGGCAGCGATTACCACACAATTTCTATATATAAACACATATGAAATACCTATCTATAAAGAAAAACATGCTTAGTACCAATAAATATCTGGAATCCCAATCGAGATCAATTATATTTATTAATTTGCAGTTTAATGCAAATGTTTGAGTTCACTTTCCAAAACGCATGTCTCGTTTTGCCTTTGCATGTTTTTGAGGCCGCAGCTTTATCGAACTGATTGATCGATCGATCTGATATATATATATGTATTTGCAATAATCTTTGGTATCCTCTCATTATGCTCTTTCCATTTCAGTGAAAACGTGAACATAAAATTGTACAGTTGAATTTGAAATGTCTAACCTAGGCCTATGTAGGAGTTTACCATCCCTCGATAACCCTCGACTTCTGCCACAAACTTCGACATAGCTACACATATGACACTACCTACTATATATACATATATGTTTAACTATACTCTACAGCTTAACATCACATTATTATATATGCGATTTAGCTTAGGTATTAGCAGCAGCTTAACTACATAAAAATATTGAAATAACTACAAATTGCCCAGGACAAAAAAAATCAAAGTGGTATGTAAGTATGTCTGTTTGTACAAGTGTGTATTTTTGTATGTTTCACAAATTATACATATGTCTGCATAAAAATATATAAAAATGTGTGGGACAACAACGGTCGGTGTCGGTATTCCTATGGATCGACCCAAATAGAACTTGGAGTTTTTAAGAGTGAAGCCAGACAAGTTGACTTGATGCGCCGAAAGGATAGTGCCAACATGACCACGCAGCCCGAGAATATCCCTATTTGTAAGCTTCTCTCAATCCCCAAATCACTCACAACAACAGACTTTAACTGTGCTGGTCTTAGGTACTAGTATCTCTACATGTTAATCCGTATATATATACCGTGTGAGTATATGTATGTATATTTTATCTGTACCCACCACCCGCTTGGTGGTTCTATAGTCATTATCTCGGGTCCGTTAGACAAGAAAAATGCAAAAAAAAAAAAAAAAACTATATTCTGTATTCTAGGCGCCAAAGCAGATCGAAAGTTTTAGCTACCACTACCAAGTGCTGTAGTGCACGCCAAGAAAACGAAAGGCTTCAGTTTTAGCTATAGACACAAATATATATATATATTATATAAAGAGATGTATTTACATATTTTTGGCATTATAGGTACGTACACATAATGACGAGGGGAGTTGGCAGAACAGCAATAATAATAAAATGGGAAAGTTAAGGGAAAGGCGGGAGAATAATTCGTAGAAAGGCAGATTTTTTCATACAGGAAACGGTGAAAATCGATACTTTCAATGTAAGATTTATAAAATATATATATATATATATTAAAAGCGGAAACAATAAATACAAAATGAGTTATACACCCTTAAAAAAAAAATAAAAATATATATATGTGAAAATTGTAAATGAAGCATGTAATTTTGTAAAATTATAAATAAAAGTTTATCATGTCGAGAGCTAAGCGAGTTTTTCCCATTACACACACATATAGAGAGACAGAGGGGGAAATGATTAAACCTAAACTTATCTTTAGAACATTTACAAAGCTGCCTAATTACAAAACTAAATACAATTGGAGAAACGATAGCAGAACCCAGATGGATACAGATGCTGTGAAGTTGGCCACTTGTCGTGTTTCTCAGTTCACTGGAACTTCTCGGCGAGTCCTCGCGTCTTGATTGCCATCTCATTTAGATGTTGCTGCAGCAGACGCTTATTGACCTTTTCCCTGCGGAGAAAAAATGACATAAGTAGGTTTTAACACTTCAATCACTAGGATAACTCCGATATAAAATATGAACAAAGTATCGTACTTTGGTATATCAAATTTTAGATATGTGAAAATATCGTATTTAACTTTAAAACATATGTATTGACGCAACTATCAGAGAAATTCTATTAAACTTTAAATATACGTCAGGTTTTTAAAATGCAACAAGTTTTGGGCACTTTAAGTACTGTTATGTTACGTTAGCTTAAGGTACAAAATCGATTTTAAAATTTGAAAAAATCTTTATGGATATCGTCTTCTGAGTTTATATCTATCTATGTATATGTATATATACATGTATTAAAATTCTTCAGACAATATCTCGAAGACCAATTATATTATTTCCAAATTTTAAAAACTAATTAAGGGCAAGAACATGTTTTTAATATGCTCAAACGTAACCAACAACCGTATTTTCGATCGTAACAGTTATAATTTTTACAATAAAAATCATAAAACAAGAGATATTTTTAAAATTATAAAAAAAAAAAAAAATTTTTAATTCTTATTATTAAATTTTCATAAAACATTTGAAGAATATATATTTTTTTAAATATTAACTGTTATTTTAAAATTACAAAAAAATACAAATTATTCTCCAATAAAAATTATTTTACTAAAAAAATAAAATAAAATTTACAAATAACTGTTATTTTAAAATTAGAAAAATAACAGTTATAACTCAACTTTTATATAAATATTGAAAAATAATTATTCTACAAATTTTTTATTAAAATAAAAAAAAAAACGTTTATAAAAATGTATCTTATTTTTGAAAACTCCTTTAAAAAATATGGAATACCAACATTTCATCTTTCCAGCTTAATTTTTGGTAGTAACTTTAATTTTCTTATAACTCTTATTTGCGATCCCTGCTTTTAAGTTCAAGTATTTGGAAAACCTGACGTATATATTTCGTATTCCATATTTCGGTTTTTGGTTCCAAAAAAACGGTCGTCCCGTGTTATATTGATCCAGTATATCAAAGATAATATCAATATCTTACATATCAGAACATCAAAATATCGATTTATACATTGACATTCAGCTACAGGATCGCTATTTCAATATTTTCCGCCACGGTCTAGTCCATACTCACTTGACTATTAGAGCTGTGTATCGCGCTTTCTCCGCATCCGTAATAAGCTGGGTGGGGAAATTGGGTGTCGCCATCAGGGTCTTCATCCAGACGGCCATTTCCGCAGGATACTTTTTGTTCAAGGCCAAAAGGATGTCGGCAAATTTGTCCACCTGCGATCGTGGCGTCAGATAGCCTACACACATCATGGCTGTGTAGAGGGTCTGTTCGCCCGTGGCCAGGACGACCTCGGTGATATGGGCATGGTTGCGCGATTGCATTACAAAGTGCGTGAGGAACAGGATGCTGTTCCGGATGGCTCCATTTTCCGGCAGCGTCATGCCACGCTGAGCGTAGAAGACTAGCCGATCGTAGGCCAGTGTCTTGTCCTCCAAGGTCTGCGGAATCTTCTTCACGATCTGCGAGAGACAGCAAAAGAAGGTCTCCATGGTGTCCGAAATGTTTGAGAAGTTCTGCTCCGGAGTGTTCTCAAAGAGCTTAAAGCTGTGGTGGATGAACTCCCTCAACAGCTGTTGCATTAACGGCTTGCAGCCCTCGTCCTTGTAGAACATCACGATAGCCTAACAAGAGCAAGAAGTCTTTAATTGTGGCAAACATGCATATCGTGGGGTCTCTCACCGTCTTGGAAATCTCCAGGGTGGGTGCACAGCAGCGTGTCTGAAAGCTGGCCACAATGAAAAGACAAAGGTCCTGCAGCATCGGTTGAAAGCTGCTTCTTAAATTCATAATCGCGTGCTTCATGGCGCTGCATGCTGCTTCCAGCACATCAATCTCCTCCACCCACATTTCGGCTATTCTCCTGAAGATGGGCATCGTACGCTGCATGACCAGCAGGACGGGCTGGACGGTCGGCTGCTCCTTGGTCTGATCATCATCCACATCCGTGTTGAGGGACGAGAAGAGGGTCGAGATCATGTTAAGCCGGAAAATGGTGCGAATCCGAGCCGAAGGAGTTTTCTGCAAATAATTAAGACGAAAAATATAATCGGTTTTCATCCATACTGCAGAATATTCAAGTTTTTTCATTCCCAACTAATGTATTTTTGTAAAAATTAATGTATTGACTCACCGTCTCCTCTTGGCAAATGGCCTGCAACTCCTCGAAGCACGGACTGACAATTATGTCCAAGTACCTAGGTATATCCTCGGGCGGCAGCAGGCTCATCAGCTTCCCGATGCTGAACATCAACCGGACCGAGTCCGAGTTCTTCATGCGTCCCGTGTTCAGGGAGGCGTGGCAAGCGTTGAGCAGTGGCTCGGCGTACGGCTTCATCTGCATCTGACAATCGCGACATAGCTCCTTGAGGCCCAGTGTGGCCTGGGCCGACATCGAAGAGTTCAGCCCGCGCACCAGCAAATTGATGGCTGACGGGATGTATGTGGGGTTCTCCATCAGCCAGTTGCAATAGGAACCAACCGTCTCCAGTGCGGTGCCCAGAAGCTTCACGTTGAGCTTTTCGTACGGAATCTCGGCCAGCACTCGCATTAGCCTCGGTATCTGACGCGACTCCTCGCCGCCAAAGTGCTCGGCCACCGATTGGAAGGAGTAGATGCATGCCTCCAGCTTTGTCCAGTGCGTCGGATGCCGTTGCAAGTCGTCAATAGCCTCGTCCAGCATGGCGGCCAGGATCTCCAGGATATAGTCGTGAAGTACATCGTAGCAGTACATCTTGGGCGGAAAATATAATAGATAGTTCAACTTGGGGAACGATATGAAAGGCATTACTCACAAATGTATCAGATATGTCCTGCCTGTAGCATCGGAAACACTCCAAATCGTCCGAGTTCCACTTGTCGAGGGACCTCTCATCCGGCTGCTCAGACTTTCGCACCAAAATGCTGGTGAGGTGGGCGTACAATGGCTTTATGTACTCCCAGCACTTTAGCTTCTGCTCTTCGACGGGCATGGCGAAGACCTCGTCCTGCAGCATGTACCAGAAGGCCAGGGCCATGGTGCTGCACGACTCCTCTACGGGATAGATGCCCGGCTTGTCGGTGCAGTGCAGAATCTCTTGGACGATGCGGTGTACCAGCACGGATAGCTCCGGATCGTTCGACGTGATCCCGCTGAGTAGCAGCGACGAGTGCCGTTCCACCGAGGACACGAACAGCATGTAAATGTGCACGATAATGTCCTCATTGTCATTGTCGCGCTTCCACTCCATTTTCGTGATGTCGGTGAGGGAGTCGAGGAACATCTTAATAAGCACGAACGCCGTCTTCGGGTAGTTGTGGCAGTCAGGCTGAATGATGATGTTCACCATTGTCTTTAGACAGGACTCGGCCAGCTCGTTCTCGTCAGCGGACATACAGCCGTCACCGGCACGAATGCAGGGCCAGTAGCACTTGTGCACCACCTCCAGCAGGACGGCTGTGATGCTCACGCATCCCTCAATAGAATACCCAATGTTTCTGTGGAAGGAGGTTGAACTAATGAGGAAAACACACATAATATATGGAAAGCACTTACTTAATCCATGTGCCGACGCACTTAACGGCTCTGTTCATGTTGCTGTAGGTCTCCGCGTCCCACTGGCGGTTCATTTTCATCTTCAGATACTCCTCGGCGGTCTGGAGGACGATCGGAACCCGTTTACCGATCTCTGTGCGCAACGTTACTCGCTTCACAGAGGTATGAATAATCTGAGCCTCCTCCGGAATGGCCTGCAGCACCTCCAGCATGATCCACAGCTGCACATCGGGACTGATATTAGGGATGTGCTGGTTCTGGAACGTGTTGATCACCTCCTCGATGGCACAGGGCCACTCGTCCAGCATATGGACGATGTAGGCACCGAGGGAGATGCACAGTCTGTTGAGGACGATCTTCGGACCGCCGGCAAACCGCACGATCGTCTCGAGGATCTTCTGCTTCAGCTCCTCGCGGTTCTCTGGCGGCACCTCGTTCCAGTGCTTCATCAGCTTCGAGTGCAGGGTAATGGCGCCAAAGAACTGAACCTCCTGGCTCTGCGCGGCAAAGACGAAAAATGGGAAATGGAAATGCATCGCGGGCAGTTGTGGGGGCACATGGAATGCAGGGGATGGTGCGTGCGTGGGTGCAAGGGTATACATATTGAGTTAATTGATGCATTGATGCGCAGGTCCTGTGAGGTACTCACCTTTCCCAGCTGCATCAGCTGCCAGGAAAATTGCCATGCCTGCGGACTGGCCTCAGCTTCCGTGAGCCACTCGTGGGTGATCGCCTGGTCCTGCGAGTTGGAGCGGTAGAAGGCCACAACGGCCTCCTCCAGGCGCACTATGTCTATGGGTTCCATGGCGATGGCGTCTGCCAACTGCCAGCGTCTTTCCATATATTCTCCCCCTCAGGTAATTTTTCTTTTTCTTTGCACGGCGGCCAGGTGAAAACAAGAGCTGTGAGAACCTCGATAGTAATATCGATAGTATCGATTTTTCTTCACTATCGATATATCGTCGAACAGCACAACATTTTGTAATCTTAATATCTGATTGGATTATAATGAAAACATTATAATTAAAATAGTTTTTAATCTTTTTTGATGCTGTATTTATGTCATGCAATTTAAAATGCTTTCAGAAAATAGCATACATGTGAAAAAAAAAAATAAATTTTTGGAGTGGAGGCTCGGCACTATATAGTTTTTCACAGCTCCAGAGATAACAGATGCAAATTGGGGTTTCTCCCCAAAAAAGAAAACAATTTACTTTAATTTGGCTTTTGGCTGTTGTGTCCGGCGTATCGCGGGCAAGTATCGATAGGTGTGGAATGGGCACCACTGGCTAGAGGGCTGCCAACTGAGGCCAATTCGAAAGATATTCGAACGGAGTTCGAATCGCGAGTTGTCGATCTTCTCTGCCATCGTTAGTTTTTAAGGGGGTTTCCTGAATTACAAGGTCAAAAAGATCGATTTTTTTTATTGCTTAAATCGATAGATAAACTATCTAAGAATATACCACAAAAATTTCAGAAGCCAATTCGAAGTATTTTCGAAGATACAGAGATGAAAGCCAAGGAGCGCCGAGCAGGTTTGCGAGCGCTTGGGCGAACTTTGAAGCGCGTTTTGTCCACTTTTCATTTTTACGATTTTTTCGAATTGGCGGGAAAGATAACAAAAAAAAAACTTATTGACCGATTGAAACCAATGAAGGCTTATTCTCTTTAGAATTAAATTCTCTTCTAGTTGAACTAAAACCGTTGTTGAAAACCACTTTTTTATATTTTTTACAGCATGTTAAATTCAATATTTTATCCAGAAAAATGCATTTTTTTTTAAACCTGAATAAAAGTTCAGATTTCACGATTTTCTCCGGGTTTTCTTAATTCAACAATAAAATGCACTTATAAAAATTGAAAATTTTTTTGAATTTTTTGTTTCAGACAAGAATTACGAGCTGCACATTTCCCGCCAATTAGGGACTGCTGTGACGAGGTGCTTCAGTGAACTACTTATAAGTCCGCCATTTTGAATTTTTTTTTTTTTTTTTAAGCACTTTAAATATGTAAAAAAATATACCAAAAATTGCAATAAGCTTGGTCGTTTCTTTACCTTCAAAAAAAAAATCGCGAAAAACAACTAATTTTTGGCCTCCTAATTCAGGAAACCCCCTTAAGCCAGAGAGAGAGAGAGGAAATTCGAGCGGGAGACAGTGTGGAACAATGGCTCCGCACTTTTTTAAACCAAAAATGAATAAAAAAAAAGGAAAAGAAATTGTAAGAATTGGTTAAAAATAATTGCCTTGGTGAAAACCTGTGAGTGGCCGGAACAAAAAAAATAACAACTTGGTGCCCCATCCGGTGCAGGGACCAACACGTCTATCAAGGGGCGGCACCGGAAGCCACCAAGTGCTTAAGACTTAATTTTTTTTTTCTTGTATTCTGTTTAGTTTATCAGTAGTCGTCTGCATTTTTATTGTAATTAATTTTGCAAGTTTTGATCCAATTCCCTATCATTTAAAAAGTGTACAATAAAATTTTTAATTACCTGAATCGTTTCTACACTAGTCGGCACAATTATTTTGACAAAACCTCGGTATGACTATTGAGCATAGCCCTGCTCAAAGTCTTCATATAACGGTGATAAAATTATGCGCAAAATTAAGAAGATATATTTAGCTCTATGCGTACCAAATTTTATGCATTTTACTGTTACCGTTCACTTTCTGCTAATTAAAATGCATGCAGACATTGAATTTTAACGCGGCATAAGTATTTTGACAAACCTATAGAGGACATTTTCTGAGGGAGTTGAGCGCGTGAACTCAATACTGTTTTAATGAAGAAAATTGTAATTGAAAAGTGTGTTATTAGAATTTTATTTATATTTCTTTTTTTGCTAGTTTCTGAACTGAAAACATATTAGAAAATTAGAAAAAAAGGCTATAAGTAGAATTGTATAAAATCCAAAAAACAACAACAACGATACTATCTAACTATCGCCATAAGCGGCAAATTTTATAGCAGCGATGGGCACGAGATCTAACGGTTTGAGCAGCAGCTCGCTGAAAAAAAAAAAAGAACAACCCCCAGCGTCGCGAAGCGTCGCACCCACGCGACACACAGAATGTGCGAGCCGAGAAAATACACTGACAAAAACTTTTTGAGTAGATCAATATCTTCAGCCATTTTTGCGTGCATTTATGTCCGCCTAAGAAAAACGACTGCAAAAAAAATCCAATCTTTTTTCTTTAGTGCAGAAGTCAACGCCAGCCACGCAGGTCCCTTTAAAATTGTTCTTGTTTTTTGGGACGATATGCGACTTCGGGTCGCTTGTGTTTTGTTGTTGCAAACTCGGGATCGCGGCGATGGGCTCGCTACCTGCGCCAAAGGTCAGTGTGGTTGTTTTTGTAAATCTTCACGGTTCGCTGGTCGCGAGCACTGCACTTGTGCGTCTGCAATTGTGCGACATGCTGGCGCCTCCGAAAAAAGATAACGGTTTGAGCAGCGTGAGCAAATTGAGCCACTGCGTGCCCATCGCTGTTTTATAGCAACAAACAGCTGTTCCAAGTGTGGCCAGACACTTTTGCGTTAATTATCTGCACGTATTTCAAAGAGTTTTGTTTTCAATTTGTTTTAAAAAAACAAAAGCCCTTGGCAATGGGAGATCAGCGTGTCCTGGTCATCGACAATGGGTCCTACGAATGCCGCGTGGGCTGGAGCGACTGCAAAGAGCCTGAGCTGCGATTCCGCAACGTGCTGACCAAGCCGCGCAAGGATCGCAAGAAGGAAGCCATCGGCTCCTCTGAGGGCTCCGGTACCACATCGTCGGCTGTTGAGGCACCAGCCGAAATCCAGGTGGGCAACGACATCACCAACATCGAGGCTGTGCGCGCCCATCTAAAGTCGCCTTTTGAGCGGAACGTGATAACCAATTGGAACCATCAGGAGCAGATATTCGACTATATCTTCACTAAAATGGGCTTCGAGGGACAGGAGAACATCGGTCATCCGATTGTGCTGACCGAGGCTCTGGCGAATCCCAACTTCTGCCGCCAGCAGATGAGCGAGCTGCTCTTCGAGTGCTACGGCATTCCTGCAGTGTCCTACGGCATAGATGCTCTGTACAGCTGGGATTACTATCAGCAGAGCCGCAGAAAGGTCTTTTTAGGACATCTTAAGACGTTTTAAGTTGAATAATTCATGTCTCCGCCTTAGGTCTCTGATGCGCTGATCATTTCCTTCGGGTATAGCACAACACATGTGATTCCCGTGCTGGAGGGCAAGATCCAGCTGGAGCATGTCCGGCGCCTAAACGTGGGTGGCTACCACATCATCACATACCTGTTCCGGCTCATGCAGATGAAGTACCCAGTGCACTTAACCGCCATCACCATCAGCAGGATGGAAAAGTTGGTGCATGAGCATTGCCACATAGCCGTGAATTACAGAGAGGAGCTGGTGAAGTGGGCCCAGTTGGACTACTACGAGGAGCACATCATGAAGATTCAACTGCCCTACAACGCCGTGACCGCCACAAATGCCCTGCTCACCGCCGAACAGAAGCAGGAGAAGCGCCGGGAGCTGGCCCTTCGTCTCCTGGAGATCAAGAACCGCCGGGAACGGGAAAAGCTGCGCGAGGATGAGCAACAGTTGTTCGTGTACAACAAGCTCAGGCAGCTGTACGAGCAGCAGAAGCTGCAGAAGTTCGAGCGGGCCCTGGAGCAGCAGCAGATCGGTACTTTGGAGGAATTGGATTCACTTATCGCCACGATTAATTCTCGAATTAAGCGGGCACAGGAGCGGGCTCAGAGTGCCCCTCGGCCGAGCAAGCAGCAGGACAAGCTGGACAAAATGCCCAAGCCCCCCGAGGGAGTCACGCAGGCCGATTGGCTAGCCGATATCCATGATAAGCGAGATAAACTGCTCCGGCGCAAGCAAGCCCGCCAGCAGCAGCGCTCGGAGCAGGCCAAACGACACACGCACGCCGCTCAGGAACGGATGCGGATCATCTCGTCGCTGGCGAAAAGCGAGAAGCGGCGCAAGGCCAATGGCGAGGAGGAGGACGACGGCTTTGGTATGAACGATAACGACTGGGACGTCTACAAGCGGATCAATCGCTACAACGACGACAGCGACTCGGATGCGGACAACGATCAGCTGCTGGAGTTCGAGAAGATCCTCAACCACTACGATGCCAACTTCGACGATGGCAGCGTCAATGTCCAAGCCCAGAGCGCTGCCGAAAACTACCAATTGCACTTCGGGGTGGAGGACATCCGCGTGCCGGAGATTTTATTCCAGCCCAGCATGATTGGCTGCTCGGAGGCAGGGCTCGCCGAACTAATTGCCTTCGTCCTTAAGCTCTTTCCCGCCGAGGAGCAGCAGCGCATGGTGGACCATGTCTACCTGACTGGTGGCTGTGGCCAGTTCAGAGGACTGAAAGAACGACTGGCCAAGGAGCTGCTGGAAATGCGACCGTTTCAGTCGCAGTTCGCCATCTACGAGTCGGATGAGCACACTTTAAGCGCCTGGCTGGGGGCTTGTGTTCAGGCCGAGGATCCTGGCTTTGGGCAGACGCTTACCACGCGCCAGGACTACCAGGAGAGGGGCAGCGAGTTTTTCCGCGAGCACAAAGCCAGCAATCTCTTTTATCCTACACCAAAAGATTAACATATTTGTATTTGAAGTCACCGAAAAATAAAGACAGACTTAAGCTATAGCTCAGAAGAGGAGTTCCGTGATGTCGTTGCCGAAGAGCAGGTTCCAGGACTTGGGCACCGTTAGCTTGAAGCTGCTGTCGCCGCCACTGCCGCTGCGCAGCTGCAGGAAATCCTCGCACAGTTCGTTAAGCTCTTTGACTATCAGGGAAGCATCCGTCGAGTTGTCGCCCTCGAGCAGATAGCGGAATAGCAGCATAACGGCCACATTCTTCTCGTCGAAGGCCTTGTAAAGCTGCAGGGCATTGCCGCCGCCGTAAATAGCCTCGCCAGTGTGCTCCTTCCACTTGATCAGCTCCGCATTTCCCAGTTGGGCAGCGTGGATCTCCTTGAAGTTGTCGCTAGCGCGGTACGCCCACGGCGACTCCTCAATCACGCGTCGCTCGAAGCCGAAGCTGCCGCTGAGTATGACCACCCGGCGGGCGCCCTTGAGCAGCTCCACCAGCTCCTGCTGAAAACTGCCGGTGTGGCGGGCGATCCATGGCGCCCGGAACTGCACGACCAGCAGTTTGTCCTCGGCGCCCTCGTACAGCTCACAGGACGAGACCTTCTCGTTTGGTTCGTGTTGATAGGCCGACGGTCCATAGACCGGGATTAGAGCAGGATGTGTAAGGGATCCGATGCGCCGTAGTTTCTTGGAGGCGATCAACAGGTCACAGGCCAGCTGCGCCGCGTTGCCCACACAGATGCTCGGGAGGATCACCGTGTACTCCGTCAGATCTAGAGTGGACCGCTTTTCCTTGAGAAACAGCATTTTGGCAGAATATAAATTGTTGTTCCGAATGAGAAGTCAAAATATGAAATAGAGGTGGAGAAAACCCGATGACAACATTAATCGGGTAACATCGATAGGGTATTATCTATGTGTTTCCATCTCTAGGACCGATTTAAATGGAATTCTCTTTAAAAAAAAAGTACGAAACATATTAATTAGATCCCTTTAATATACTTATTTTATATTTAAATATACTTATTTTAATAACTTAAATAATCTGAAAACTGAAAGTTAACATTACTTCAGTTCTCGTCGTCCTCTGAAGAGGAGGCTTCCTGCTCCATCGCCTCCTCAGCAATCCGCGCTCGCACCATTTCCTGGACTTTCAGATCTGGAACAAGGTGGCCTGGCTGGATGTATTTGTTATTGGCACATCCTAGGACCGGACAGCGAATGCCTATGTTGTCCTTGATAACGGCGTACACCGAATCGCGATCGTACAGATGGCGGCAATGAGTGTTGCGGACGGGGTTGCGCATCAGGGCCTTGGACCAGGGATCGTACAGCGAGAATATCTCGCCGCCGGCTTCCATGTCGTCCTCCACGATTACATCGTTGTCGTCGCCGTTGCCGCTTGCTCGTTCTTCCGAATCATCGCCGTTGGCCAATGTGTCTTCCACAGTCTTCTTAAAGTTCTTGTACTCGGTTGTGTTCTTGACGTTCGTCGTCTTCTTCTCGGTGGCCTCCTGCCGCTTGGGCCAATTCCGCTCAAGCTCCTCAAGGGTAGAGCTCTCATTAGCGCACTGTCGCAGTTCCTGGTCCAGGGCCTTGTGCTTGCTCTTCAGCCCGATTAGATTCTCGGCGTCCGCCACGTGCCGCCGGGCTCTGTCCTCCATCATCTTGGCGTATTCTCCATCGACATCAAGCTCGGATACAGCTGTCGGACGTTAGAGTTTTTGTTGAAACGTTTTACGGGTTGTTGTGTCCTAGTACTGCGCTCACCTGCCGCCATTTCCTTTAGGAACTTTGTGTTTTCCAAAAGTGTGTCGAGAGCGGAATCCACATGACTATTAAAATCCATTTCTAAAAGAAATTGCCCTGTATTTCTCCAGATTTCCCAAATTTTAGGTTTAAGCGCCGCAATTTGATTCGATAGGCAGGCCAAGCTAGAGATGGCAGACAGCCGATTGTCGATGTATCGATTAACTTCAATGTTTGCGCAGCTCTAGCTTGCGTTTTTTGCAATTGTTTTGTTTTCTGGCAAAAAATGTCAAACTCTGTGAATATATCGGTGGAAACAACCTGCGAGAACCAAATCCGTGAGATTGGCTACGATGGCACGGAGCTGTATCAACCGTAAGTGCATCCAGTGGAGTCCTGGCATTGTTCTCAACAAGTTGTTGGCTTTGGTTTCAGGCCGCCAACTTTGTCCGAAAGTCTGGCGAAATGTGCGGCACGCATCGACTTCAGCAAGACGTCGCTGGACGACCTGAAGAGGGAGGAGAAGTCGGCTGCAGCGGCGGCCGGGGATGAGGACAACAAGGACGCCACCCAGTTCCAGGAGAGCCTCTGGCCGTGGGACGCTGTGCGCAACAAGCTGAAGGACGCCCTTACCGAGATCTGTGTGCTGTCCGACGTGATCTCCATAGCCAAGGACAAGCGCTACTTGGTGCTGGACCCTCTGCTGGAGGAGGGCGACGATACCAAGCCGATTGTACAGGTGTACAGCCGGAAGAAGGCCATCTCACAGGCGGCACAAGTGCTGCTCGGAGGAGCGGAGCGCCTGCGAAACGCCCACAGCGAGCAGCGCAGTCGCAACGTGTCCGACTTCCACATCGAACTGCTCCGACTACGTCAAAACTGGCGCCTGAAGAAGGTGTCCAACGCCATTATCGGGGACCTAAGCTACCGCACCGCAGGCTCTAAGTTCGGCATGAGCGGCACCTTTGAGGTGACCAAGGCGGAGGAGGCCTTGGATGACGACACTGTCAGCACGTCCAGCAGCAGCAGCACCGCCTCGGGCAACAATGGAATGCAGCTGAAGGCCAGTTCCGCGTTGCGGGTGATTGTGCCGGCCGAACTGCAGGGCGTGGCCTATATCAAAGTGATCACGCAGAAGGACCAGGAAGACTTGTGTACGGCCCAAGTGAACCTGATGGGCCACGGACCCAACATAACCGCCCAGGTGGGCGTGTGGCAGAAGACGCTGGAGTTTGCCCAAAACGTGCTCTTCTGCAAGGAACTATTCGCTCAGTTAGCTCGCGAAGCCATCCAGCTGCAGGCCCCGATTCCTCATGTGGTCATTGGCAACCAAATTCGTGCCACCCTGCTGCCCAATATACAGCTAATCATCTCCCTCTGCCACTCGACCACATTCGACTCCAGCCTGCCAGCGCCCATCAACGACCACGACCATGTACTCGAGCACTCACTGCACCAGCTGCTGCGCGAGGTGCACTACAAGAATTCGCATCATCCGTTCCCTCACCCGGCCAGCGCTCCATTGGGACCCACGAAGAAGCGCATGCTTGCAGGTCCCATGGCTGCGGACCGAGAGACGCTATTGGACATGACCAAGACGCAGACCATTCTTGAGCAGATCATAGCCCAGGCACAGCACATCTTCATGCGCAAGCGAACGCAGTACGTGCTGGATACTCTGGCCAGGGATGTAAAGGATCCCCAGATAGTGTCGCACTGGAACGCAATGAACAGCCCCACCATGTCGTGCGTGAAAATCAACATTGTGACGCACGGATACGATGCCATTGGGCGCACGTCGCTGGTGATTCACGTCAAGGAGCGATCACTGAAGTGCATCTGCCGAGACGGACGCGTGATGCGGCTGTCCTACGAACCACAGGAGCTGCGCGACCTGATACTCTGCCAGATCAACTCACACCAGATCTCATGCCTAATCAGTTTGGCCCGCTGCATGGCCTGGACGGTGCTCTCGAACAGCAATCACCTGGGCATTGGCAAGGTGGAGCCGCTGGGCAATGCCAGTTCCTGTCTGCTGGCCTCGCCCAATAGCGATCGAATGATTGCCGTGCAGATCCGCTGCGATCCCCAGATCGATGTTAAAGTCTACATAGCGAGAAGTCCACGCCAGGACTTCTTTCCCAGTCCCTTGGTTCCCGAGAAGCTCTGGGAGAATCTGGGCGGTAATTTCAAAGAGGTTCGTATTTGGAATTTGCAATCCCAAATCGAAAACCGAAGATAATGCTAACGCTGTTTTATATCTTCCAGGTGAGATTCGACAAAATTGAGGGCAAGAGTTTTCTCAACAAAATGGAATTTCTGATGGCCTCACTGACAAGCAACTCGGCCTGAAGCCGGAGCCCAAGGCGGGGCCCCCCTCCCTCATCCCCTAGTTTATATATAAATCGAATTAGAACTCGTACTATGTTAAGGATTATTTAAAGTAAAAAGAGTTGTAACTATGTAGGTCTACATATTTTCTGAAGAATCATGCGGGTTCAGTGCATCAGACTGTAGCTGACGTTGTTTTTCCACAGGCGAGGCTGATAGTTATGAGACTCCGGGGACATGTTCCGCTGCTGCATGATTGTGAAGGTGTCTTCCAGGCTGACCACATTAGCCCGATGGGTGCTCTGTAGGGACACAATCGACGATATTCCCAGATCCAGACGAAAGATTATATATTCCAAGGATTTCTTGACTCACCCAGCGTTCCAGATCACAAAAGCTGATGTTGTAGTTCTGTCCACGAGGCTGAATTGTCAACACCTCCATCTGATTCCCGGGCTGGCCAGGCGCCAGACGCAGATATAGTCCCCGATTGGTAGAGAACAATACGGGCACTCGCTTGGCCGGTGCAGAGCCTGTTCCCGTGCCGGCACCGGGAATCTGTCTGTAGGTCGGGCAATGGTTCTGCGTTGAAATAGCCTCCTCCGGCGCCTGTCCGTCGCTTGAGACACCTCCCACTGTCCGCATCAGTCCCATGCAAGTGCGGAAACAGGACGCCACCTTGCCGCATTTACAAGTAATGTCGTCCTACACGATATCCTGATCTCTCCAGCGGACCACGTACTCAGCTCGGCGTTGGCCATGCATTTTTCCTCCCTACTTCATATATCGATTTTGTGCAGCGCCCGAATACAACGTCAACAGGGTCCGAGTGTCCAGCGGGTGTGTGTAATTAGTTTCCCAATTTGTATGGGCCACAATCGAACGGCCGGTTGCCACAACAACACAACCAATCGTTGCTCCCGCTTCCAGTCGCAGTCCCAACGCTCTGCGATATCCATTCACTGACCATGTGCGTGTGCTCGGCCAATTGTGTCTGACGCCAGATAGCCGGCCTGCTGCCACCGAATTGTTCAATTAATGCCTACGGGAACAGACATCTTTTCAATGCATGCCATCAGTATCAGATGGTGCTGTGATTACCAAGACCAAAAGTATTCTCTGTCAGATATGAGCAACTTGAAAACAATTAAGCTTGCCTCAGGAATAATAATAATTATGAGGAAGCTTGGGAGACCAAGAAATAATTAGGTTTGATCATACTCATTCTCATTTCTTATGTATATGTTTTTTCTAGCAAAATAAAAAGTATGGTGCAAAAAATGTGCGACAGTGATAAAAACTAAATTTAAACAAGAAAGGAAGCTAACTTCCCTTGCAGTTTGCAATTGGATTATTAAGAATCGCGTTTTACATTCCCAGCTTTACCTTTTCTCTACATCTAACGATCGTTTCTATGGCAGCTACATATGTACATATGGATATGATATAGTTGTCCGATTTTCATAAAATGTATACCATAATTCTGAAATAATAACAAAAGCTTATACATATCTCAGAGTAGATGAAAATACGTTGAAAAACAACGAAGTTATAATTTTTTTCTCATAAATATAATAATTATATATTATAAAAAAAAATATGTCCTTTTTAAAAATTTGTTTATCATTTATATGGGAGCTATATGATGTTGTCGTCCGATCCGGCTCGTTCCGACATATACATATAGCAGTGAGAGTATTCAGAACACTATATGCTGAGTTTCATTAAGATAGCTTTAAAACTGAGGGACCAGTTTGCGTAGAGACGGACATGGCTAGATTGACTCGGCTGTTGATGCTGACCAAGAATATACATACATATATACTTTATAGGGTCGGAAATGATTCCCTTACTGCGTTGAAAACTTCTGACTGAAATTATAATACCCAGCAAGAAGGGTATAAAAAATTACCAAATATTTTTAAATTAAGCCAAAGACATTATATGGATAAATCTCCGCATAATACATTAAAATTAATTTCAATAAAGTCCTTCATTACATTTCGCTGTAATCATTGCTTGAACTAGTTTTTCGAGAAAGTGATTCCTGTATGCTCGAGTGCGAATGCCCTACATTTTTGTAATTATCCTGAAAACGAATTATAGTCCAAAATCGATCATCAATTAGTGTTAATCAAGAGCTATAAGTTTAAAATTTTGTAAAATTAGATTTAAGTCTGAGACACATGTTTTTTTTTTTAGTACATTCGACATCAGAGCATTGCCCACATATTAAAACAGAAAATAAAGTAAAAATAGGGAGACATAAAAAATACAAAAATTTGTTTTTACTTTTTACAAATATTGTTTTAAAACTTTATTTCATTTTATTTTATATTTATATTGTTGTGTTTTTTGTTTGTGTTGTGTACTTGTAAATTGTATAATTAACACTAAAATACTTATTTAAACATTATTTTCATATTCAATCGGTATATTTTTGCATTTCATTCTTGTTCATTTTTTTTTCGATTTTTCTTCATTTTACTTTTGCAATTTTTTTGTTTTTGTTATTTGTGGGGATTGGGCGATTTACATATACTTTTTTTTTTTTATTTAATTCCGGTCCATCCATAAGTGATGGATTTAGCTGTGGTTTATATATGTATGTATATGTATTTAGATCCAGCAATTGAAACGCTTCAACCTTAAGCGTTAGTAAATAAATTTATCTTAGTAACTACTTAAGTTTTTCGCTTGTCGATGATGCGGGCCCCCTTCATACTATAATTTAGATTTATTTCATGCCGCACGCATGCACATACTATAAATTTCTCCGCCTGCTCGTAAATATTTTAAATTCCGACACATTAAACATATACAATATTTAAAATAGATATTTGTTACGATTACTTTATCAATTGATTTGTGTTGTTGTGTGTATGTTAATGTTCGTGTGTTTGCTATAAAGAAATTTCATTCGTTTCTCGTTAGGTATATATTCTCAGTTTTGATTTGTTTATGTTGCTGGGACTTAATAATTAGCTTCAAAACTAATGCTACCGTACGGGCTCGATCGTCTACGAATGCGAATGTGCTGTATCATCGCCGTTAAAAGGATGCGAAGCACAGACATACACAAGATAATTTATGTTGTATGTACCTTATAGACTTTTGTTTGTACAGCATTCGTGTTGTTAGCTTAAGAGTAGTATTTTGAAGTAAACTTTCTTTAGGTTAGGTTTCTACAATTTGCCGTTGCCTTGCTGCCGTTATTTTACGAAATATATATAATATATACTTTATATATGCATATTAAACAGCTAAATCTTATAGTTATGCGCGTAGCTATCTTGCAATAAATAAGTGCATACAATAGGCTACAATCTGTATCTGCTTCCGTTTCGGGTTCTGTCTATATATATTATGTTTACATACATATATGTAGCGTTCTATATAATTTTCGTTCGCTGTCCCTACTAATGCACACACACGATGCCGTGAGGAAATCGAAACGAGTGCAAACTGTGGGGAAATTATCGTACAGATCGTATCTCATATCTCATACAAAATGGTATTGCTCGCCGTTGGAAGGAACTTAAAAAACGACTTTCCAATTTAGTTCGTTTGGTTAAAATATAAATACACGAGAGAAACAATAAGACACAAAACAATACAACAAATACAAACTTCAGGCAAACAAAAACAAACAAACGAAGAGACGGGGAGACAGACAGTGCCAATTTTACAATTTGTACAATAAAAACTAGGAGGAATACAATTTGAGGGACAAGCGTAGGCATTCGGGCCAGCAGATCGAGAGTACATGGGTAGTATGATCGTGAGTTAGTTACAGACTATCCATATGGTACATGTCCAATAATGCTAACTATATACTCAACTAGGTGTTATCATTATAAATATATAATTTATATTATGCTCGATTTCATTCTTTTCTGTTGCGCCTTGCCCAACGTAAAAAAAAAACTGATTCGCGATTATGATTTCATTTGTTTTGTTTTCGTTCTTCGATATAAGCGAGATATAGATGACTGATTGGATTGATTTGGGGGAGGTGTATGAGTCGGTTCTGGTGTGAGGTTACTTAGTGATCGGTTGTAACGACTAAACTAAACGAGGACTCACTTAACTAGTTGCGTACATGTTTAACATTACTTTAAGTATATATTTGCTTGCTCATTTAGATTACTGCTGTGTTGCTGTTGCCTTTGCTGCTTGTTTTTGTCAACCTTCTCTTTAGGTGTTTCCAGATTTTCTGTTTTGCCAACACCACTGCCCCGCGTCGTCTATCTCCTTTGCTAGTTAAATTTTCGATCGAAAACTAAAGTTAAGCATAGAATACAACAGACAAAACGAACTTATCTAAAAATCAACAGCAGGAAATCAAGGCCGATCGAGGACAGTGGCAGTGCAAAACGCCCATTTGGATCCTTTCACAATTTTACATTTTACAAATTGTTGCTTACTTTTGTCGCTTTAGTTTTTAGTCTATTATATTTAGGGGCTTTCTGTTATGTTTTCGCTTTTGTTTTTGCTTCGCTTTTCTCAATTTCTCATACATGCGTTAAATATTAATTACTTTATGCTTATGTATCAAGGATTTCTACTACCGCGTTCTTATTTGCTGTGTTGCTATGTGTGTCGTCGCCTTCAGAAATTGTTGCCGCCATTGCTGAGCAGGTTGGAGGCGGCGGCCCCCAGAGCAGCAGCCGCTATGGAGGCGGCTGCCGAGGAGCTGCCGGCCGATCCGTTGGACGCCGCAGCTGCCACTACAGCCGCCACAGCGGCGGCCACTGTGTTGAGATGCTGCTGCTGTTGCTGATGATGTTGTTATGGCATGAAGTAGTCCGGATGATCTGTGTCTTTCTCGAACCGCTTGGCCTCCTCGTGCATGCTCTCCTTGATCTTCAGAATTGCCGCCGATTCGGTCTGATCGTTCTCGCCTGGTCCTCCGAATCCGCCCAGATTATAGTCACCCATGCCGCTGCCGGAGTCTTCGCGCGGCGTCCCAGGTCCGCCATTGGCCGGCGAGTTTTTCATTCCGTCCAGGCCAGTCCCGTCTGGTCCACCGCCGCCATTAAGTACGGGACCCATTGAATTGGGGCCGCCACCCATCGGTCCCATGCCACCGGGTCCGCCTCCACCACCTCCGCCATCTGGTCCGCCTCCCATCGGGAATTCGGGCTTCATCAGGGCGTACATACTGTCACCAGGTCCTCCTACAGGTCCGCCTTGCGTGTTGTCCTGCGGCGACGGCATGATGGGCGTTCCAGGGCCGGGCGGTCCATTCGAACCGGGACCCGGTCCGTAGTTGCCTGGCGACGATGACGAGTAGGCATTCAATGGCGCCGAAGCGTTCGGCTGCCACTGTGGCGGTCGGCCGCCCGCTCCACCCATGCCCATGGGTGGCATTCCACCTGGCCCGGGTGCTGGTCCGCGCATCCCTCCAGGTCCGCCGTAGCCCATTGGTCCCATGCCACCGGGACCGCGTGGCGGATTCATGCGCGGATTCATCGGTCCCATCCCGCCGCCGGGTCGAGTGGGGTCCATACTGTTGGGCATCATCGGCTGACCGGGCGGGCCGTTAAACTCGTTACCCATACCCTGCATGCGCACGCCGGGACGCGGTCCACCCGGATAGCGGGGTCCGCCCATGAACGGCGGCTGGCCTGGCATCATCTGAGACGGCGGCGGCTGAGGACTGGATGCGTGCGTCGGCGGCGAAGGCCGCATGGTCGAATTGGGGAAGAAATTGGGCCCCATCGGTCCGCCAGGACCCATTGGGCCTCCATCGCCGCCGGGCGGCATCTGGCCAAGTGGACTTGGTGCCGGTCCTCCGGCATTGTGGGGGCCGCCGGGTCCGATGCCATTCACTCCATAGCCGGAGCTAACGAATCCGTAGTCGTGGAAGGCCTTGGCCTCCGAGCTGTGGTCGCACTGGTCACGGCGCTCTGGCGCAGCACAGTACAGATCCCAGAAGACACACCACCAGGTATGTAGGAATCCCGGTGGCTCTCCAAGCGTTATGTTCTTCTCCCACCGGATCTCCGAGAGGAATGTCTGTGCCGCCTTCTGGGCGCCGACATGAAGCAGATATTCGTACACGTATAGCGCCAGCTTCTCGCGGGCCTGGGCATCCGATGGCACCGCTGATGTCTTGGACTTGCCGTACATTTTGTTGTGGCTTGTGATGTTGTTAATGTTGTTTTTGTTGTTGGTGAAGCTGGAGCTGGAGCCAAAGCTAGAGCTACTGCTACTGGTATTGTTATTGCTGGGGCAAGGTGGTCTCGGTTCGGTTCGGTTTTCTCTCCTCTTTGCGCTTGTAGTTCGCTTTTCGTCTACCAACTTCCACCTTATTTAAATTTATACTTTTATGTACTTTTCGAGGCTCTTGCTGTTTCCTCTTCGGCTGCTTCTACTGCTTCTTTTGCTGCTTGTTCTTCTTCAGCGGCTGCTGCTGCTGCTACTGCTGCCGATGTTGTTGTTTTTTAATTGGCCGCGCTTTGGGCTCACGCAGCCGTTCTCCGCCGCTCTATTACTTCCACCATTTTAATAAAATTGTTTTTACCGTGGAGCGAATGGAGATTAAACACACACTCTGTGCTTTTACTTTTTGGATTTTTACAATATAAACTTTTTAGCGCGCTCTCTGCGGTGTGTCGCTACTTCTTCGTTTTACCGTTTATTTTTTTTCAGGTATTTTTTCTGCCTGATTGTTGCTGCTTCTTCTTGCACAACCACTAAAAACAGAAAAAAGCAGAGGGAGAGAAAGAGAGCATGAGTGAGAGAGGGCAAAGTGAGCGACTTTGTGTGTATGTATGTGTGTTGCAAATTTTGGTGTGCCTACGGGAGTGTGAGTCTGTGTGTGTGCGAGTGTACTTGCGTGAGTGCGAGAGAGTGCGCATTGTCGACAAAACGGCACAAGTGCCACACTAACCGTCAAAAGTTTTGGTCCCAAATTGCGAAATTGTGATTACTGCCGAAAATAAGTTTGCCTATTTGGGGAACTTTTCTATAAAATAAAAGCTTTGACTTTAATTTAAGGTATCGGATCGAGTTCAATTAAAAATAAAAACTTCAATAGCAATCACTATATTATGTAGATCTGCTTTTGGGCCATTGTAATTGTTTAAAGCGATCTAAAATTTTCAAATCAACCAGAATCGCGAAAAAAGGTAATTTTTGTATTTAATGATAATAAATACTATTTAACGATTAAGTGTAAGAGTATTTCAATTTCGAAAATAATCAATTAAATAAAAAATAGTCTTTAATTTTGTTCCAGTTATTGGGTATATTTCCCCATTTGCAGATATTTCTATGATTCTTCACTAGTAAAATTGAAAAGTTCCCTGGCGTTTAAGGATCCCTTATCCCTATACATTTCCTGATAGATTAATATGGAGAGTTTAACCTGATCGCAAACTTATTTGCTTGACTTTGGTGCTTCGCTCGTTCCGCCAGGTGAGTGAGTGATGCTCTTGGCCCCTCGGCCAGGTCGCTTGGTAGGTAGCAAAAGGCCAACGGGCAGGGCAGCTTATGCGGCCACCACTGCCAAATGGCTGGTTGGTTTTGGTTGCTCGAATCGAAATTCGTCTCCAGAATTCACGCCGAGGCCCGGATACTGGCGGCACTGTGTGGGGATTGGTATTGGGGATTGACAGCGAGTTGGCGCGGGAGTAAGCTGTCACTCGGAGAGACAGGGCGCGTGGCGATAAGGCCAATTGGCTCGGCGGACAGGTGCATCCGTTACTAGGCACTATCGAATATCTAATGGCACGGAAAACTGTACAGAACTCGGCCGATTTGAATACGGCAGTCCCGTCTCTCTGGGAAGTCTCAAAAATGTACACAGAGAGCGAAGCTATAGACAGTGTCAGCTGTTATCATTTTAGCCAGAAATAAGAAAGCAGAGGGTGTTATCGGGCGCCTATTATGAAACGAGCGATGGAGAAACTGTCTCATCGAGATCGGAATGCCCAGTTGGCGTACATCAAAACCAGAACCCAGTTGCCAGTTCTTAGGGCTCCAAGTGCCAAGGGTTCTGGCCCCGACGATCAAATACCGGTCGGTGTTGCTCCATCGCTCTCTTTATCACCTCCGATGCTGCCCCAGAACGGCAATGGGGAGAAAAAACAAAAAAGAGAAAAATCTACATTACTGCCGATATTTCTCCATTGTTGTTGTCTAGCTGAAGACGTCATCAAATTCGGTACGCGGGGTTTCTCTCGCACGTTCTACTTTTTGCCACACACACTCGGGAGCACACAGATGGCTATTTGTTGTTATTACTGCTGGTGCTGTTGCATACGAACCTTTTACTGTTTGTCGCCCTAATACTTTGAATACTATTATTATTTGTCCGTGCGAGTGTCGTGCTGCTGATTGCAATTTTATCACAAAATCAACAAGAAACACAAACAGACACAAGACGAGAGGCTGCTGCTGCTCTGCTCCGCTGCTGATGGCTGCGCTCGTGAGACAAGACAAGAGAGAGAGCGAGTACGGCCCGAGAGCGGCGGGGCGAGAGAGACGGAGATATAGAGAGGGAGGAGCGATAGCGAGAATACGGAATTTTATTACAATCTCATTGATTTTTCGTATTCGTATTTGTATTTGCGGCTCCCCGGTTCTTCACATGTTTTGCGCGCATACATATAATTATTTATTATTAAACCGCGCGCTATTTTACTTCGTTTTTCGCTTTTTGCACCAATTCTCTTGCGTTGAGTTGTGGTTGTGTGGATTCGTGGTGTGTGTATGTATATGTGCGTGTGTTTTTAATTTCTTTTCTAAACACACTTTTTCGCCGTAGCCGCTGTTGTTGCTGGTTTAATTTTTGCAAGTTTTCTCTTCACACGCCTTTCATTCGCCGTGCGCTTTGTCCGTGTATTCGACGATTGCTTTTACTGCTGCTGCTGCTTCTTCCTCCACTAAAAATCGGCTCTTTTCAGCCTGTACGAAATTTTCACAGTTAGTTCGTTGAAATGCATTTTAGATGGATGTCATTTCAAAGGCAAACAACACGTTCACATTTTCACAATGATATTAGTTATTTATAAGTTTGGTTATTCGTTATTACACAGAGAATTCGTATAAATATTTTTACTGCTACAAGTTGTTGAGGCTTTTCCGTTCGCTGGCTTGGGTCTTTGCTAAGTGGTATTAATGCAATAAGTGGAGCTGGTAAGTCTAGCATTGGCGAGCAGAGTGACCATATATTAAAATATTATGACTTGAAAATCAAAAACTTCAATTTCGATAGTATCGGAATGACTTGAAACATTTTCAAGCAACAGAAGAAGCTCAGGAACATTACAAATAAATAAGTTGGATCTGCCAGAAACGCTGATTTTATTTTTCTTGTTGATTTTCAGAGTAATACTAAAAGCTACTCGCCAATGGCTTGTCGTTGTCGGACTGGACCGAGGAAATAGGTCTGGCAGCACAGCCGTCAGTGCACTCGGTAAAATATTCAGGTGGAAAGGATAATTGGATAAATAAATTCGCTGGTAGTTAAAACACCAAATGCTGATATATGATGATTCTGATAGGTGAGTTCATTAAATTATTATCGTTCGACTTTTTATATCAAGCTTGCAAAAGCCGGTGTGTTTATGTGTATGTGTGTTTACTTTGTTTTGGTCGGCAGCAGCGTTGCCAACTTAGCTATTTTCAAGCTACATTTGGCAATTCTCAAAAGCACAAGGAGGAATAAATTGAAGATTAGTGGCTAGCCAGAATTAATTTTTAAGCGAAATTAGCGTTATTTTACGTATATACCCATATACCCCTTTTACCCATATAAAATTTACTCAACTTTGACTACGACAATGAAAAGTACATTTTCGAGAAAATTACTTTAAAACTGTTTCGAGGCAGTTTTTTTGAATGTCATTAAAATTAAATTTATGTATTACAATAATAATAATAATAATTATAATTGGGAACCTATATTTATCACTTCGCCGAGGTCATAGAACTCAATCCGGAATCAACATATTGATGCCAAAAACGAGTAGGTTAATTATTTAATTTAATTTAGTATATTTAATATTAATAATATTTTCTAATATATGGCTGAGTTAACAGCTTTTGCTGTTATGTTAAGTGTTAAATCAACTCGTAAATGTTCGGAAATTTGTTGAATGTTTCAAACAATAATTTGAACAATTTTCATAATTAATAATGAATATCCCTGGTGTAGAGCACCTCCTTGGCGTAATTTTTCCTTAAATTAATTAAGAAAATAATAATTATACATTCTCGGTTATATCTTATTTTTTCAACTTAGCTTTGCAACACTGGTCAGGAGCGCTGTTTAATTTTACAGTGTGCTGATGGCGCCTTGGTAACAGTGTGGCCATGCATGGGTTTGTTTACGTTTGGCGCTCTAAAAATAACGGTGTTGCTTTGAAATGCATTAAGTGCGCAAGAACCGACGCACAGTGGGGTAAAAGAGGCAAACATTTGCCAATAAATGAAGTAATCGTGATTGCAACATTTTCTTTTTTCTACTTAAGAAAACCTTTGTTATATATAAGCAGCTGAAAACTGCTATTGCCATATGAATGCCATTTCGATAATTATATATCGGTTAAATGACTGAAAGCCAGTAAGGACAGTTCGAATTATTTAACGTTTTGCATTGCATTTAAAAAAATTAAGATTACATAGGACAATACAAAATTTAAATCCATATCTTGCGACTGGGTTATGGTTGAAAATTTAGCGGGTAGCTCTTTTCGGTCGTTCCTTATACGGATGAATATATCGACGGTATTTTCAGTAATTCATAAATCCAGTTGTAGAATTTACCAGCATTACCATCTGACTGCTAACCTTTTTTGTTTTAGTTTGCTAGATCGTCTCTGTAAAATTTAATTACAGCTTATACGTCAGATATTTTTAATTTTAACTAATTTATATATTTTTACATGACGAAAAGTAATTTTTTTATTTTCATAGTAAACTTGAAAAAACAAAAATATAGCTTTGAAAGGGTTTGTCGTGGTCATGAGAAACATAAAACAAAACGTTGTCTAGATAATGAAAGGACAATTTATGTATTTCAAGGTTGCATAAATATCAATTTTGAAAATATTTGTAAAACATTAAGCGCCAAAATCGCCTGTTACACCACTGTGGGTCGCTTGCCGCCAAATGAAAAGCTCTTGCCGCCAAATGAAAAGCTGAGCGACTCTGAAACCCGTGGCATATAAACAGTGCTCAAGTTTAGTGCAACTGCAACGGTCCTCGGCTGCTGAGCTTGTGCTGCGACTTTTTCGGGTTGAATTGTCTGCAGTTTACGCGACTCGCGCGATTATCCTGACGCGATTTTTTACGTCGATGCAGTTGGGCAATTTGACTGCCGAATGAAAACCACTTAGGTCCTGAATAGGTGCCCAGGCGAGAAGGATGGTGGCATAAACAAGACCTTTAACAGTCAAGTTTAAAAAACAGTTTAAAAACAAATGCCCATTTTTGGATTATTTAGGTGTTTGCGTATCACGAGCACGTGATGACCGATTTAAAGCGTTCGGCGACTACTCTGAGCCCCCCTTCAAGACTTTAACCCTTTACTACCTTAACTGCATTCCAATATATAATAAAAAAGTGTTCAAATTATGCAAAACAGCGTACTTACTTTCTATGTTATTTGGAAACGTTTATAGATTCATATTGTCAATCCCTAAATCTCTGAGCTCCAGGTTCCCAAACTGTTCTTAAATCGGTGTAGATTTGAAATTAATTTGTAAAGTGCCTAAATGTATGTAATAAAATAGTAAAGGTAAGTTGTATCTTTTAACGTCATTAACATAAATGCCTTTTCTGCAGAGTCCTTTTTTATTTGTTATGACTTATTTATATTATTGAAATATACTGAGCAGGCAAATAAAAATAAATGTTATGTAGCCAACTAGGGTTAAAAGCTTTGCTTATTTTGCATATGGCCCTCGTAGCGTGGCATTTAACAATAAGCATTGGAAAGTGTTGAGGCCTCTGGCTATGTTGGGCATTCAAATGGAACATGGCAGAGCCCCCAACATCTCTGCATCCCAATCCTGCCCCCAGTGGGCAATCGTTTACCAAATGAATAATGTCGCTTTTGGGGCTCACTCTGTCGCCCAATTTTGTCCCCTTTGTCAATTTTTATTTGACACATTTTATTGGGCAAATCGCTTGGCGTTTGGTAATCCTTTTGCATTTCTAATTCTGTCAAAATCGAGGGCGACATTTCGCCCGGGGCTGCAGGCCCGTCCCAAGGGTAACATTTCTTTTTTGTTCACTCTAAATTGGAATCGAAATCAGATTTTGTGCTGATCTGTCTGTTTGTTTGTGGCAGCCACGGCTCTTCCTGTTGACTTTCATTTACAAACATTAGTTTTTTGCACTGTTGGCGAATTTCCACCACCCCAAAATATACCCAAAAACACACACATCCCACCTCTCCACCCCCGCTGGCACATTCAATTAGAAACATTTCGAACATTGAAGTGCATTGCTTTCGAGGATTCAGCCGTGCAGCAGCTGCAACTGTCGCCATTAGTGGTAAAGTTTATCCCCAGTTGGGGACCAGGGGGCGGGATTAATTTACATTTAATGTGTCGTGTGTTGTTTCGCCTGATTCATAACTCTCTATAAATGAATTATGCTTAAATTAACGGTATTATCTCGTTATTTTTGTATTCGAGCATAACTAATTGCTTGATAATTGAATCTTTTCAGCAAATTGATTACCGGACTTTTTGAGATTTTCCTATATAAAATATAAGCATAAATATAATGAAGTTATATAATTAAGTTGTTTAAGGTATGGGATAACTTTTGCAATTGGGCTTCTTGTTATAAGTTTTCTTGGTTGAAATTCAATCATTATTTCCATTCCATTTTTTACTGAAAATTCGATTGGGATTGCTCGACTATATAGTATTGTCCGTGCGGATTAAGCGCAAGCGAGTGAATCATTTGTGGAACGATAACTACCTCGCTTCCTTGCAGTCCCAATCTTACTGCTTGTATCGTTTGCGGAGCAGCTGCAGCCGGATTTTGGCATCGCACTGACGCAAGCATATTTCAGTGGATCAGGGCGGTAGGAAGTGAGTGCTGCGGTTGTTGCCAGCCAGGATTTATGAAGCACCGCACACTCCGATGGCAGGCGTATCCGTTTCCGCCTTGCCTCTTTTTGCCCCTACTCATTTTACTCTGCCCGTGCTTCTGTCGTCTTCCAAGTGCAGTCAGTGTGTTCAGGTTGCTGCAATTGTAATTCAATTGCCTTGAAAAACGTTGATTTACAACAATTCTTTTACTTTCAGGCTGTACTTGAGAGTAGAGCTCTGTCCCAAATTAGTAATCGGTAGTTTTAAGTAAATCCTATATTTAGTTGTTCATATGTGTGCATACTGTGGGTTTCTAGTGCAAGTTCGTTATTCCCTCTTAAATTTGTAACATTTGAGTAAAACTAAAGTATCTAGAGATTAAATTAACTGAATGTCACAAATTAAAAACACCTGAATTGCAGCCCAGAAAAGTAGGCAACATGCATTCTCTTTCCAGTCATATTTGCCTGTTTCTGTCTCCCTTCAATGGCTGCGGCTTGGCGGTTCAATATCGCATTGGGGACATCCCTTGAGAAAATTCTTATGTATGTGTATGTGTTGTATGGCCTAATTAAAGCTTTCTCGCCACAGTTAATTAACGTAATTTTGATTAACGCACCAAAATTACATTTAAATATTTCATTAGCCCCGGGAAACTGGGGAACTTTTCACACACGCTCACGCTCCCAGCCCACTCACATATTTACACATTCACACTTTGGCCACCGCAAGTGAGCGTCCAAAGTTGGGGCGAATTGGAAAGAGGAATGGAAAAGCGGAAGAGGAAAAATCTGAGAATATTTTTACAATTTTCATAAACGCATGAGGAAGAAGCATGGCAAAGTTTTACACGCACACACATTCGCCAAAGGGAGAGAGAGAGAGAGGGAGAGCATTTCGTATAGTTTAAAACAATGGGACCTTTCCCACGAGGCGCCTCCTGTCCAGGCTGTCCAATCCGCTGAGGCCGAGTGGTGCTGAATTGGCGGCCAGAATCCAGGATGTAATCCAAGGAAATGCGATGGGCGGCAGAGCAGAGGCAAAGAGAGAAATCAGAGCCAGAGGCAACCATGCGTGAAACGCAACCTGAGGACACGGAATGGGTAAAAATTAAGGATATGTGTAAGCGCAGGGACAACGGAAGTACTCAGCTAGATAGGCATTAATCCAGGTGTGTTCCAATGCTTTTAAGAGTTTAATTTATTTATTATTAGATATTTCATTCCATAATATTCCAAGTCATAGTCTACAGAAACCTGTGAAGCGGAAGTTGAACTAAGGCTCCTTTTAAGAGTTGTGAAAGAATGAAGGATGGATTAATTAATTAACTCAAAAGATCAAATTCAACAAAAGGATCGTTTGGTTAATGATTGAACAAAGAGACTTTACTTACTCCAATACACTATATATATGTATGTATATGGCCAAAATGAAAAATCCTTGCATCTGGCTTA